TTGCGAGAATTTCAACACAAAGTATAAAAAGATATGGTGATAGTGGATCATCTTGACGACAACCCCTGTATATTTCAAAGCTATTTGAGCCAAAACCATTTACCACTACACTTGATTTAATATTCTTATAGAAAACCTTTATCCAATTTTTAATTGATTCTCCAAAGTTAAAAAGGGTGAAAGCTTTTTCAATAAATGACCAATCAACAGTATCGAGGGCCTTTTCAAAATTTATTAATAATAGAAGTACGGGGATTTGGTATGTGTCAGTATATTCAATAAAGCCTTTTTGGTCTTCGTTTATCAATGTGTCCAAAACGGATTTAATTCGTTTTGAAATTGACATTGAAGCGACTTTATAGAATACTGATTACAGTGATATTGGTCGCCAATTTTTTATAAATTGTTTTGGCTTATTTCCCATTGGAATACATGTGATAAGTCCTTGTTTTTGTGATACTGATCGTTCTCCATTTTTGTATCCTTAAGTTAAAGAACGAACAAGGTATTTTCCTAAATCATACCAAATTTTCTTAAGGAACTCAGCAGTGAAGCCATCTGCACCAGGACTCTTATTATTTTTATGACATTTTAGGGAGGCAAGGATTTTATCTTTGTTAAGTTCACCTTCCAGCTTCAATGCAACATCATTACTAAGTCTCGGAATGCAATACCCTTGAAGTTGATTTTCTAAATTAATGTCAGAGACGTCATGTTTACTATATAGCTTTTGATAAAATATTTTTACTTCATTCTGAATATCATTCTGAGAGTCGAGAAGACGTCCGTTTGAATCGTGTACTCTTGAAAAGGATTTATGGAGGAAATTTCTTGATTCTAGACTCAAGAAGAAAGAAGTCGGTTTTTCGCCATGATTTATCCAGGTTACTTTTGATCTTAGAATTAAACCTTGGGTTTTAGTTTCATATAATTCTTCAAGTTCCTGTTGAGTAACCTTTATTGTTTATTAGGTCCTTTTCCTCTGGTCTTAAGTACCGTCGTCACTTTCCATATATTGTCGTCTCTTCCATCCACCTTTTGAAGTTCGGATTGGTAAAAGGTGCCCTGGATTTCGTTATCATCGTAGTCCTTGACTCTATACACCCATAGTCCACCTCTCAACATTCTCTGAGAAATGGTGAAAATTTTCCCAGTCCATTTTTCATCGTATTCTCTCGTAAATATATTTCTGAGATTGGTCAGTCTGACTCGATCTTCCATCTTGAATCTTCATAACACCTTGTATATAGTGGTTTCCTTGCCTTTAGTCACTTTAGAGGGTGGCATACCGATGGTTCTATGGTACGTTTCATTATAACTGTCGGCAAATGTCTGTAGTTACAGTCTCGTTTTTATCGTCTTTAGAACGTGTTAAACCACTGCCGCTTTGGTTTCGTTGTTGGTTGAGAGATGTTTGATTCGGCCATCTTTCAACACTGTTTGTACTTCTTTAGCTCGAAACTCTTGTCCTCGATCCGCGATTCCGTCTCCCTTTGCTGAATATGTCTGTAAGAGCTCTGGCTATGGTACAACTTTTTTTATCTTTCAAATGTCTTAGCCAGGGGTATTTGGAGAATACATCAATGACTACCAAGACATAAGTGATTGAACTGTTATATTTAGAAACTTGACCATATCCATGAGATCAGCCGACCACTGATTGTCTATATGTCAGTTATGATTATTCTATTTCTTGCAAAAGTTCTCCTCACAGGAGTTGAAGACTGTGGGGTTCTTGTCTCTGAATCCACTTTGCGATCTTATATTTACTCAAGACATATTTCCCAGCTTTTCTCCCAGATCTTTACAATTTACCGAGTCTGGAAAAGCTACCAGGATGGCCTGGGTTATAATAAATGTCTTTCAAAAAACCTTTGAAGTCAGGCATGTTGATTCGTTGAAGGACTCAAAAGAAATAACATGACTAGTTATCTCAACAGTTTGTATACACTCTTAACCCTCTGCCAGTGTCTTCCAAGTATCACTACTGTTGAAGCATTGAGACAGTTTGCTGACTATCATGGTGTAAATATCTTCCCTGTGTGCAGAAAAGATTGTTTCAACTCGAAGCAGAACAGCTGCTGAAAAAATTGAATTTACTCCCCATGGATCTCAAACACGAAGACCGTGTCTTGGAGTCCATTCTTACTGAATGGAGGCCAGTTATGCTACTGCTGATGCATCAGTCAGGAACTGATCATCGTAAAAGGGTGGGATAATCTGAATGTGTCAACCCGCTGCGTTGGTTGCACCAGTTGCATCAGCGGCCATGATGGCGCTCGGGTGTCCCTCTGTGTCCCTCAAATGTCCCTCAAGTGTCCCTCCGTGTCCCAATATGTCCCTTGAGTGTCTTTCTGTGTCCTTCGCCCTCCTCCTCCTCCTCCTCCTCCACCACCTCCTGCACCTCCTTCTGTGCCTCATCTTTCATTGTCTAACTTCATTCCATATTTGACCACTGACCCTCGCACTACCCTCTGCTTTGAAAGATCAAGTGGCTTCTATCGGAAAACATCGGGAGTTTCTGTAAATTAAACACAGTGCTCTCAATGACTCAATTCCTGCGTGTGTGCGGGAAACATCCCCTGTCTGCCATGTTTGTTTGATGAGAGTGCTTGTGATGAAAACCTAGCGGAAACCCGAAGGGTTTTGGCAAGCATGTAGTGGTTCATGGCCAGGTGCACTTCTTTCACATTAGAACTGACATTTTATGAAATCAATGCACTTGAATGTAGAATTGTCTGTGTAGGGTTACTTGCCGTGTATGCAAGTTATCATTAAATGAATAAATGGAATACCTGAATACGCTTCTTGCTTTCCAATTGCTTATTGATTTTGAAAATATTTGCCATTACATTTGAATAATCTGTTTGTTTAATAAACACTTGCTTCAGCTCTGCAGTAGCCATGACCTATATTTCAGTGCACTCCGATGCAACCATTTCAGTGCAACCTGAAAACATTTTCAAGAGAATGGTCTCACTTATATGGTTTCCATTAAAATACAAGACTGATAAAGGCATTACAAATTCATTAATGCTAGTGGTGACCTGGGTGAGCAAAAACTGAGCAGCAAATAATAGCACTGGGCTTTGCTGCTAGTGTGGAAGACGCCACATGGTAATTAGAGGAATTAACTATTTCAATTTGACTAACAAATTAGAGTATATTTTGGGTGCAAGAGAGGCGAATCAGCAATGTTAAAAGTGTTTTTATGTTTCTAAAACAACACGCAAGAAGTCGGTGGATTCAGACTCAGTCGGGTCATACAACACGACATTGTGGTACTTGTTGTTACCCTGTCTAGTGCACGGCGTTAAGGGATAAAGAAGCCCCTGTCTGCATGGAGACAGCATGGTATCTCATGGGCCGGTTCTTGTTGAACAGTGTACCCTCACTGTTCAGCATTAAGGGGGAACATTGAGAACTGGTCGGCTACAGTAGTCAGTACCGTGTCTGCGTTGGATACCATCTTAATCTGCAACATGTGTATACACATCTGTGTGTGTATGCAGGTCGTCATGACAGTACAAAAATCCTGAACGTGACGTGAAACTCCGAGCAAGAGGTTCTCTTCAGCAACCCATGATTGACGTAAGAGATAACTAACAGGATTGGGTGGTCGGTCGATTGATCACCAAACTCCAAACTGCTTAACACATTTATTCTAACAAATTCTACTGCACTTGCAAGTAAATATGAAACAATTTGATTCTTCAAATACCCATCTTCTCGCTTGCACCCCATCGATCTCGCGGTTGATGTTGATCACATATATCCTCCGAATTTATACATTCACATTAATTGAGAAGAAAAAGACCACTTTAACAGTTCATCATCTTTATTGCAGCATAACATCTGTCAAACAATCTCTGAAACTAAAGGTTATTTGCACGGGTATTACACCACTTCATAGTTTTGTACACAGCACATTTCATTTTTTGTGCATAATTTCCAATCAAAGCTATACAAGTAAACACTACCAGATTGAGCAATTTCATGAAGAATCGTCATCTGATTGAGCAATTCCATGAAGAATCGTCATCTGATTGAGCAATTCCATGAAGAATCGTCATCTGATTGAGCAATTCCATGAAGAATCGTCATCTGATTGAGCAATTCCATGAAGAATCGTCATCTGATTGAGCAATTCCATGAAGACCCATCATCTGATTGAGCAATTCCACCAGTGATGAAAATCAAGCAACGGACGAGGACGTCTGAAACATAGCTGTAGGGATGAAAGGAAGCATATACCATTACCTAGACATAATGTTTTGGATAAAATATATATTTTCAATGAGCGCTTCCTGGATATTTGTTTCTCTAACGCCACAATCTTCAATTTTTCAGCTATGTTTTGGCAGCTTGTAAATCGAAATTGGTCAGACAATCCCATGATTGATGAAAAACGACCCAAGCCAGTATGATAACGATGTTGCAATCGAACAAGGCACAGAGTCTGACCAACACATCATGTAGCTGACCAGCAAAGATTGATCGTGATAACTTAGAATCCCAACAAAATGTTCGCAAATGAAGAAACCAAAAATGTTGAATGTTGTCTGTTTTACCCTGATAAAAACAGTAATGTAGTTAATCTAGTAGAAGTGAAAGCTGTGAAAATTTGGTGTAGTTGATTTGTTTAGTTTTAGTTTTGTTCGTAGATGAAGGGGTATTTCCGTGTGTTATTCATTAATAACATAAAGTGCTAAAGTAGCAGTGTCAATTGAAACACTTTTAAAATTTAACTTTAAGTCCCCTCAAATTGTCTCTCAAACTGTACCTATCTCCTAAGAAAACATTTAAAGCTGAAGGTTCACATGCCTGTGTCAGCAACTCATCACATCTGGATGTATTCAAGGCATTCGAATCTGAGTTTCAATATGGCAGTTGTATTGAAAAACCTTTGTGTGGCCTCCGCTCAGTCATTTCTGTCCATTCTTTCTGAGAATTCGAACACAACATTCAGTGAGATTAACTTGCGTCATTCATTCGGATGCCTACTTCTTGAGCCTTAGCCTGGTGAGGACCACCTTCTCCAGACCGAGGCACGGAGACTCCACCAACACACAGGTGATGAACGATAGGGCGTAGGAGACGGTGAATGTCCCTATGTAGTGATAGCTCTGTAAAAGACAAGGTGGCAGTTTCAAAGTCAACAACGGAAATAATGACATATTTTCAAATGCTTAACCTGGTATTTGGTGATAAAAGTATTCAGAAACACTGCACGCGTAACGACTTGGTGAATAACCTAAACACGGCAACAGGGGACATGTTTCTAGCATCAATACATTAAACGGAAAATGGCAAAGACCGAGATCACGAGAACTGAACATCTTGTGTGCCAAATACTCAATCGCGTCAGACATATTAGTTTGTTTGTTGTTTAATACTCGTCAATATTCAAGGTAATCAGTATGGTGGTGGTTTGTAAATATTCGAGTCTGGACCAGACAATCCGGTGATCAACACCAAGTGCATGGGCCTGCGCAATTGGGATAATATGACATGTGTCAACCAAGTCAGTGAACCTGACCACCCGATCTTGTTAGTCGACTCTCACGACAAGCATAGATTCATAAAGACCAATTATAACTCTGATCTGGTGTCAGATCTATGGACAAGAATCTCTTGTTAGTGCTGATCACACGTTGATGTGCAGTAGCTCCAATGTACGTAGTAGATGAGGTTTATGTAGCTGATCCATCACCTCCAGCAGTTGCTCTATCAGAATTAAGAAATCGGCAAGAGGAGCTCACATTCTTGTACATCCATAATTATGCCTACTTCTTGAGCCTTAGCCTAGGGATGACCACCTTCTTCAGACCAGACCGAGGCACGGCGTCCCCATTAACACACAGGTGATGAACGACACGATAGAGAGATGCTACTTTAACATGTGTATGGGATATATGCTGCCGGCCACTGGTCATGATTATAGTCCGTTTGTCTCGAAATTGGACCGATGAATTGCAATCTAATCAAACTAATAAACATAAAATACTCAATGAAACACTGATCATAATCAAAACGTCAGACCAACTCTGTGAGGTTTTGCAGAATTTATATCCTAAAAATAAAAAAGTTGTTTAAGAAACTATCATTAAAATATTGACACAGTTCACTATTTGTTACGAGGGAGGATTGCAGAGAAATGGACAGCCAGGTATGCGAGAAAGGATGGAGACGGCACAGCACAGGTTAATGAAGTCAAATGAGTCAAATGAGTGAAGCGTGACGTGAACTAAACCAACAAGCGGCGTCAAACACAGGTATTAGCCCGCACAGTTAGTTTCCGGCAAGCACGTGTGCTACCTACCACAAATACAACATCAGCATATCTCAGAGACCTCACTGAGAACTCGGTATAGGACAGCACGACTGTGTGGATCAGGTAGGCCCCATACGTCAGTCTACCCAGAGGAATCCAAGCAGACCAGGAGAGGATACTGTTGATAACACCTGCAATGATGGGTATGAGTAATTGACACCAGTATGAAATGATACATGCTAAATTAAATGAATTCAAATTAATACATCTATCAGAACACGTACTCGTTTATACTTCAGCTAGGTGTTGGCGGCTTGTAAATCAAAATCGATCTGCCAATCCTATGATTGATGAGAAGTTGCCTAAGCCAGTACGATGACGATGTCGCAATCGAACAAGTCACGGAGTGTGTCATGTACCTGACCAGAGTGAGTGAGTGAGTTTGGTTTTACGCCATTTTTAGCAATATTCCAGCAATATCACGGCGATGGACACCAGAAATGGGCTTCACACATTGTACCCATGTGGGGAATCGAACCCGGGTCTTCGGCGTGACGAGCGAACGCTTTAACCACTAGGCTACCCCGACGCCCATACCTGACCAGAAAAAAATTGATCGTGATAACCCGGAATCCCTACAAGATGTTCACAAAGGTAGATACTAAAACGGTGTTTGAATGTTATAATTCAGTAAACACCCTAGGATTTTAAAAGTAAAGGATATCCACTACAACAACGGAATCAGATATGTCATCTTTCACAGATGGAATCAACAAGGACTACGAATTCTGTTATTATCTTTATGGCTAATACAGTAGGTTCATAATGATCAGATTCGATTGTTCTCAGAACAGTGCTGGAACATTTCTGAGTGCGGGGTATAACAACAAAACAAACGAAAAAGATAAATGATTAACTCATGGATCCAATTATTGGATGTTTGTGATCGTGGGTAAATTTGTCACTGCATTTTAAATGCTGTTGATTTGCCGTTTAATTTTAAATATATTTTTGGAACATAAAATATAGCGTCAAAATAAATATAAATTGCTATAGGAAGTTACAGCGGGGAGGAAGACTGATATTTCTCTGTTTTCACTTAAAGGTTCAGGTAGGTGAAGCACTGGAAGGACATTTATGGCAGCTTATCAGCGCCACAATCTGAAAAATGAATATCATCAACGTAGAAGATACTTCATTCATGTAGATGACACTTGACACTTACATTGACGTAGATGATATTTATTCAAACCTATACATATCCAACTATGGTTCTTTATCACGGTTTGAGTATGCTGAGTGCGGCGTAAAACTAAACTTACTCACTCACTGAGCAACGATATGCATGATTATGATAATATGGAGGTTTAACCATCATCTTCGAATACGAAGTTCTAAGTGAGTATCTTCTACATGAGCTAAGTATCATCTACGTAGATGAAATCTTGTGTTTCGACTGTGGCGCGCATGCGCTTCCATAGGGATTATTTATTTTATGTTTTTTATGATAAAAAAAATATTTTGCCACTTCCAGCAGAAATGGATGCAGGGGAGAATGTGGGATGGAGGCTTCTTTTTGGCCAAAATGTTTTGCTCAAATTTTCCATAGAAGGCAGTTCAGTATTTCACATAATGTTTTCTCCGTAAACTTCAGATAAAGCTTTCTATAGTAATTTACTCTATGTAACTGGACATGAAAACACTTTAAAATTCAAATTTCTAACGTATATTTTGCCGCTTAGATGAGGGAATGACGTTTTTCTTCAAGTTTTCTTGTAGTACAATGGTGTACAAAGTAGAAATATCAAATGATCTGACAGAATTCATGTTTCTGAGCTCGCAAAAATCAATCAAATCCTTTGTGTTTTAGAGAACCCACATGGTATATATTACACTTGTCTAAATATACTTTCTGTGAATATAAATAAAGTCCTTCCTTAATTGTAACTCATTTTTCTGATATATGATATTTTAAACATCTTCGATGGGTAAGTAGAAGTGATTAAGAGGCACAGAAATGTTGTTGCTGAGGTGAAGTTACAAAATGTCGTTGTCAACGTGGTTCAACACAGTTAGGCTTTGGCCTTAACTCTACTCAGTGTCTGAATATATTACATCTGTTTTTCAAATGTTGCGTTTGGACAGTTTTTACTCACTCTCTTATAGAAACCTTACCTCCATTGCCTGTGCAGCATACCAAGATAACCCAAGACACAAACAAAGCCCAGGCAGGCCTGCAGAGAGTTTGGTAGGCGATTCTTGTATTGACACCCCATTGTCTGTCAGACTCTCGCATCTGGTCATATGTCACATAGCAGCACAGAAGTCCAATAGCTAGGAAGACCAGCCACCCCAGCACTAGGAGATACTGCAACAGGCAACGCTTTGGATACTGATAATGTTCTCATCCCTCTGAATCTATGGTTACATGTGAGTTCTCCCTCGAGCAATGTTAATGAGTGATTTGGGGGTTTTTCAGTGCCCTTTGAACTGTATTTCAGTAACGTTGATATTTGTTGATAGAATACAGAAATAGTTTAAATGCTGTAAATTATTGAGTCTGGACCAGACAATCCAGTGATCAACACCATGCTCATCGATCTTCGCAACTGGGATACGATGACAAGTGTCAACCAAGTTAGCGAGCCTGACTACCCGATCCCGTTAGTCGCCTCGTACGACAAGTATGGGTTGGTGAAGACCAGTTCTAACCCGGATCTTCAAATATAATAAGCAACAGCACAAGGGTCTTAAATGTTGTTATACACCTGATAAATAATGCCTATCTTACTCTTCGTGTCTTGAGTTTACACTTGGTTTTGTGTAGCAAGACTCCCAGCAACATTCCTATGGCGAAAACGCCGACACGGCACCAGGGAGCAAGGTAGATCGTGCTCAAGAAATCCCTCACATTCCTTGGATGAAATCATCATTCAGATATTATGAAATGAATAGTGAGACCAGTTAAAGGAATTCATAAACCTCTGTTGGCATAAAATAATGACATTATTTTCTTTTATTAAATTCCATTTCGTTTCCTTCAATCAAGTCATTTTCCGCTCTTGATTATAGTTATATATTTTTCAGTTCCTAGTTTCACATGTAACCATACAAGATGGCCGATTTGCCTCATGGCAGGAAATGTGTTTTATAACCTGACTCTAACATGAATATATAGAATAAACCCTTGTGACCTAAAATAACCTTGTCTTCAACCTCTATATCTTTTGGCATGCTTAGTCGTGTAAAATTATATCATGTGAAATAGTAATTTGCTTCATTGCGTTTATGGCAATGCTGCAATCGGCAATATTCTACACATCATGATTTCCTGTTCATAATCAAATCCAGGTCATGTAAATCAGTTATTGGAAGCTTCAACCGTACTGCATGGTCAAACACAAAGTCAATTTAGCTTGAGCAATGGGGTTTGCCTAGTGTTCAATTCGCCATATGGGTACAATGTGTAAAGCCCGTTTCTGGGCATAAAAGCAGCATAAAACTAAACTCATTCATTTTCTCTTCCCCGGGATCCCAAATAAATCCTTGATCTATACCTATCTATATAAATGATAAAACTAACACAGGAGAGTTGTTACAGATGGTGAGTGATTACCTACATAAGTATAGAGCTGCCTCCAGTTTGCCATTCCAAATATCCGCATGATATAATATGTACAGCAATGAATCCAGATATCACACAATAGCCGAGCCAGGCAAAACTGAAAAAAAAGTATTTCATGAATTCACATCTTTCATTCAGAAAACACAATCCCTAAATTTTGTTCCAATCTTTCTTCCCTAATCCTCTTCACTGAATTCCACTGTTAGCCAATCTGCATGATTCCACCAAGCATATGACCTGCCTAAGGGGTGATGCTGTAGCCTAGCATAATGCAGTAAGAGCGTTTCCTAAGTAGACAGAATGTTTGAAGCTCTTTTCTGATGTGGCCCACAGTGATATTGTTGACATTATAGTGGGTGAGTGAGTGAGTGAGTATTGTTTTTCGCCGCTTTTAGCAATATTCTAGCAATATCACGGCGGGGGACACCAGAAATGGGCTTCACGCTTTAACCACTAGAGCCAACGCTTTAACCACTAGGCTACCCCACCGCCCCGTTGACATTATAAAGGCGACGTAAAACCTTCCTCTTTCTCTTTCTTTCTTTGTTGCTTAACGATGCACTAAGCAATATCCCAGTTATCCCAGTTATGTGGCGGTGGACTGTAATAATCGAGACTGGACCAGAGGTTACAAAGGTTAACCTTAACTCCCATTCTTTAACATTGCACTAAGGTTACCTTTGTGATTTACGATCACCTTAGTGCTCACTCATCCACATGTTTAAAGTATATAGTTACCCGTAAGCAAGCGGCAGTAACGCCAGAGGTGCCACCACGTAAAACTGCATGTCGTTTGACAAGAACCAGGATGATTGCAAACACTGAAACAGACATTGCTTCCATGACGAAAGTTTTCCAATACGGTTGAAATAAAGGCTTGATCACCTACGGTAACGGTGACCCATACTTTTTACAATGGGCTTCCTTTTCTGTACTGGGCTCGAGTTTTGTAAAGACTTATTAAGTGTCATGGCGTTTGTGAAGTTTTGTTTGTTTCGTTCAGTATACATGTACAATGGGCTCCGCCTTTAGAAGAGATTTCCAGTGGTTATGGGAAAAGTTCTGTGATGTTTCTGTATCCAATCACGATACGCACATGTTTGCTGCTTATCGCCATACTCAGTAATAATCCAGCTATTTTGTGGCGAGACTGGACCATACAATCCAGTGATCAAAGGCATGAACATCGATCTACGCAATTGGGATACGAGGGATCCTGACCAGCCGATCCCGTTAGTCGCCTCTTTCGACAAGCATTGCTTGCTGAAGACCAATATCATTTGCAGAAGCGCTAGGTCTTCCATTAACTGCCCGACAAAAAAGGGCAGTTGAAAGAGACCGAGGGCTTCTGCAAATGATAATGCCCTAAAAATAACATTACCGTTATTATTGCTAAAATACAAGGAATTTGTGTTGAAAAGAAAAAGGAAACAATGAAGGAATTTGACTGTAAGTTTACTCAAAACCAACTTTTGACGGGGTTGACTGGCCGAATGCAATTACGTCATCGAACAATTCAAGTGACGTCACAACAGAACGTGTCGAAATTTGACCTTGGCCTTTGACAAGACCATGGCCTGCAACATGTCAAACTATGTCAGACACAACGTCAGTTTTCAGTGTTCGGTTTTGGTCCAACAACCACGTTAATAGTGCAATTGTTAAGGTTAGCACCACCAAGAAAGCCAATATTACCGCTATTTAAAAGCGGGGATTCCGGTTGCTTTGACTTGTTTGCCCCAGAATATCTGCCAGTCTAAAGCCAATGTCGAATGAACCGTAAGCCCACGCACCCACTATGATGTCATTTGACAACAGAACTGATATTGGCTCGTCGTTAAGGTTGAGCGGTCCAATATCATTTGCAGCGGCCCGCAAATTTCTGATAATAGGAGGGCCGTTTCATGATGATTCCATGTATTTTAGCTATAATCAACGGTATTCTAACAAAGTCACCATTTTGAACAGCAGTAAAAGGAAATATCACTATTAAACAATCAGCAATAATGATGAAATGATTTCATCCTTCTTATACAAATTCTTGATATCTGCATTAAACATTAATACATTTACCATTTCATCAGTCTTATACATATTGTTGATGTACAGCAGATTGGCCCACCAGTTGTGCCGACAGTAGTCCTTGTCAATGATGTTCTTTGACTCAGCCATTGGTCCGTCTATGAGATGGTCCAGCAATCCAGTGTAGAACATGATGATTATCATATACAAAGGGGTCAACCTACAATACATACAATGAGCATGAGCGCATGGCGAGTTTTCATATTGTATTGATTTTCATATTTTACCTACATAAGATAAGATTGGGAAAGCAACATTTGGGATTTGAAAAACGGGACCCGTGGATCGGGAAGAAAAATCAACTACATGTATTCTATAGACATCGATGTGTACGATGTGTTTTATGTGTCGGCAGTGAAGTTTCAAATAATCTAGGGCGGTGGGGTAGCCTAGTGGTTAAAGCGTTCGCTCGTCACGCCGAAGGTCCGGGTTCGATTAATGTCAGTCCGCGCTTTCCCATTGGGTAATGACAGTGCATACTTTCCCTTTTGGTTAATGACAGTTCGCGCTTTCCCATTTGGTTAATGACAGTGCACACTTTCCCTTTTGGGTAATGACAGTTCGCGCTTTCCCATTTGGGTAATGACAGTGCACACTTTCCCATTTGGGTAATGACAGTTTGCGCTTTCCCATTTGGATAATGACAGTGCACACTTTCCCAATTGGGTAATGACAGCTCATATTTTCCCATTTGGGTAATGACAGTTCGCGCTTTCCCATTTGGGTAATGACAGTGCACTTTCCCATTTGGGTAATGACAGTTCGTGCTTTCCCATTTGGGTAATGATAGTTCGCGCTTTCCCATTTGGGTAATGACAGTGCTTCAAATTGCTTTCCCATTTTGGTTATGACAGTGCATGTATTCACATTCGGGCAATGACAGTTACCTCCACCATCTGTGGATGTAGTAGATGACCATCTGTCCCACTGTAGGCTTCCCTCTTGTGGACTTCTCACATTCCCTCAGGAACAAGAAGGTCAACAAGCAGCCGCTAGAAACAAGTTGTACGCGAATTGACGAAATATCGAACATGCGGAACTAGATACAAAATGCAAATCCTGTTGTAGTTTATGTAGAATGAACCATACCACTATTTCGCAACCAAACAAAATATTATTTTTCAAGGTCAAAATGTCGATTTAAATTAAACCAAAAATGTGTCATCGGTAAAATTGTACTTTTAAAAAGAAGGATCATGAACTGATTGTATGCACCTGAGCAGAAAGAATGTATCCACTGCGACTGAAGCATTAAGGATGAACTGCATGGTGAATCTTCTCGTCCAGTCAGCGTAATCTATTACGTTCTCATCTGGAGTATTGATAATATGTTAAATTAGTTGGCAATTTGTAATGCAGAAATGTTGGGAGACTTATTCAAACGACGGCTTCGACACAACAGGACAGAATTAATCCTTAAAAGATCATTGATGTACGTACTTTGCAGTCGGGAATATCTGTATGAGTGATTCCAGGAAATGATATACGTGTAAAATGTAGGCATCTCACAATAATTTTGCACATAGTTCAGACAATCCAAACATGGCATTTCTTGTGCTTCTGTGAGTTATATTTATTAGCAGGATAGAAAGAGAATGGACGGAGGAGAGACTAAGGGAGAAAAATGAATGAACGAATACGACGTCAGGTAAAATGAATTGAAGTGTGACTGAGACAAACAAGCCATCGGCGGAGTATCAGTGATAAGCCATCAATACTGTTAATAGCAGCAGCACTCTCACACAATGAGAGGTTCAATACATGAATAGTATATTATACATTCCAAATGTCGTATACGGTGAATGTGGCCGATATCCACTGTACATAAATGCACTATGTCAATTTGTAAAATACTGGTTAAAACTTGTGTCTATGTTCAACACAGAATACGAAAGAAAGCTTATAACATGTTGCTTCATTATGATAACTGTGGATATACCACTTATTCCCTATGTTCGTAATGTTCTATTGTCACATGGTTTGAATATATGTTTTGTTGTCTCAAGGTGGAAGTGATATTTACGTTTTTCTTCAAATGTTTAAGAATGTTGTAGTTAATATTTACAGTCATGGAATGGTATTATACAAGAAAGTTCTAGATGTAGTGTATAAAGACAATATAAAAGCCTATTAGAACCAGAAAAGTATCTCACTCTATTAACATTTAGAAAACAACGATTTATAATGATAAGACTTAGATGTGGAATTTTAAAATTAAAAGTAAACGAGGGAAGGTGGTTATGAATAATTAAGTCAGCAATTATGTCAAATGTGTAACACTGGAATTGAAAATGAGTATCATTTTATCATTGTATGTTAATATTAAAGGAATTTAAGACATCTTTATCTACCATGTACGTATCACCACAAACCTAATATTCACAAATTTAGACAGCTAATTATTTCAAAGTGTACTGATGTATTAAATAAGTTATTTAGATATATTTGCCAAAGCTTAATCTTAAGAGAACAATATGTTTGAAATCCGGGGCATATATAAAATCTATATATTAAAAAAATACATCCATGTACATTGTATGTAATTCATGTTCGATGTAAACCGTTTTATAGTATGTGTATATGGGCCAATGGCCTTCACACAAATAAACAACAACTTGACTACGCACAGCTATTAAGTCCATCCCAAGATGTTGCATGTCCCAGGATGACCCAGGCCATACTGAGTACCCGGATGCCATGAAGACAGCGCAGGTCTCCATTCCCCGTCCTGGTACTGAGGATCTTGTCAGCATTCCTTCTGATGGAGAACGACAGGAGGAGTTGACGACCCAAACCTTAAAACGGTGATATAGGAAAGGCATTTTGACGGCACTACTGATAGGTTAAACAGTCCCTTCATCCGTTTTCATCCCTATAAGTACCGGAAGTGCTTAAAGTGCGTTAAGCTTAAAGTTGAGGATGTCTGGTACAGATAGCATCATGGCCAAATTTTCCTGTAGATTGTTTTTCCTGTTTTGTTTTAGGGATTTTACCTGTAAGAATCAACTGATAGGTTATATCTTCATAAACCGTCAAATTCGTCTTCAACTGACCCACGCTGTACACACAAAAGTTGTGCAAGATGTCTGGCATCATGGCCACACACATATTTTTCACGACATAAATTCAAATTTTCAGCAGGCAAATTTGTGAAAAGTTCTTCGGAATCTCCCTGAGAGATGAACAGCCTTCGGGAATATGAACCTGAATCCAAACGTGTTTACGATAATTTCCCCCTTCGAAACATTTGAATAGACATGGATAATTGACTATAAGGTCACCAAGTATGAAAGATTAGAACTTAGAACTATTTTATACATGTTTCCTTTAAGTCCAAATTTCTTCCTCATCTGCTGCAATCGATTATTATCGTACCACAATGTCAACCCCTGGCGGTCTGGTAGTTGATATTGCTTGTGCATTTTACCTTCATTGTCTTCTTGCTCCTTTTGTTTTCCTGAACCTTCTAAAACCTGATGTTCATCTGTGATGTTAACGAGCAAGCCATCGTCATTCACGAAGATCTCACTGTCGCTATCAAAGTCAACGTCGACGTCGACGTAACATCGTACTCTTCTATACCTAGTTATCTCTGCGCTGATAATATCATACAGGGTCCCCACAAGAGATAACGCGACGATGAAACATAACACAACCCTGCAAAATATAGGAGTCAGTGTTAAAAAAGGAGACGGATTGTAACAACTATAGAAGGATGCCTAGTGCCATGCCATCCATTTAAAACGTTTGCCAAGACGATGAAACACAAGACAACCCAGCAAAACGCACGTACAAGAATAAAGACAGATTGTGAGCAATTCCAAGTATTTTCGAAGACAGTCTGCTACCAAAGTATTCAGTTAGCATTCTTCTCATCTTTTACATAGCCCATCGTTTAATCGACGAATCTCCATGAACGGCAAATAGACGAGGAACGTACACTGTAGCCACTGCAACTGAGTCGTCCTTCCAGTCCGTCACCTTGGTGAAATAGGCCGACAACAGAGAGGAGCCAGTAGCGTTGAAAGGTACTGCAAATGATGATACAAATCTTGGTGACTTTCAAAAATACACGTCCATGTTAATAACATTAGCTTCTTTGTTATCTTGGGCGGTGGGGTAGCCTAATGATTAAAGCGCCCGTTCGTCACGGTGAAGACCCGGGTTCGATTTCCCACATGGGTCCAATGTGTGAAGTCCATTTCCGGTGTCCCAGAACGGTGATATTGCTGGAATATTGATAAATGCGGCGTAAAACTAAACTCACTCACTGGGCTTTTCTGTCATATTTTTACAACTGGTTCTAACCACCGACAGTATTGTAAAAATATAAATCTATTGAAACGTGTCATGAATGATCGATTATGTTTCTGTTCCTCATCTGAACTGTAAGGACATAAGGTTCAACTCACTCAATCTCAAAGCTGCCTTTGTCACTTGACTGTCACTGCAAGACTTTGGTAAACACAAGTCCCATTGTATTGAGTTGTGGATTTTGTCAATCTACAAATGGAATACCTGAATATAATGTGTAAGATCGATTGTAAACATTAAGAGAAAATACTGAGGGGGTCAAAATAGTTGCGGGGACTGGTTGTCATAACTTGATGAAATATTTATGTGAGTCAAATTTTGTTAAAACTATCACAATAACTTTAGACAGATGTCATTGCAGGGAAGCACTTACCGGAAGTGGTTCATTTTTGGTGGTAATATTTGCGATTGTCTCAGGTAATGTGAGGAGAAAGTGACAGTAACCACCATTTATCACACGACTTTGTCCCGTGCTCTCATTGGTCAGTGTGTGTGACACATCCAGACATTCGTCGTAGTTGCCAAGGAATTTTGTCGCTCCTTGAAGAATACTCCTTCCTGGTTTTCCTGAGGCATCTAGCACTATGACAAAGGATCACATACATAATAAACAAAATCTCCTGAACAAACATTTCTATGGTGATGTTGTCAGTTTGTATGTTGAATTTGGTACATAAGAAAATTGTTAGGAATACCACCACAACGTATGAACATGTGAGTGTCTTGTGTTCTTAGAGATTCCAGGTCAAACTGTCTCAAGAGACGCCTTTGAATGAATCTACTGCTCATGCTTGGTGACTTTCTTTGATCGTATCCCAGATGCAGTGGATTTGCAACCTGTCATGAATATGTCTTAACTATAATATGGGGATTAAACAGGTAACAAATCACAGATACTTCTAGACATTTAATCAACTGAATTTGGGTTACGCTTGTATCATCTGGAAAAGATAAGCTCCATACAAAATTGCTGGACATTCTTAAAACGTTACAAGTTATATGAAATATTATTATTCTTGGGTTTGTTTTCGTTTTGTTTTTTAAAAATGGGTGCTATGGCACAGATTGTTCTCCTATGCAATATGAGGGGGCGATGGGGTAGCCTGGTGGTTAAAGCGTCTGCTCGTCACGCCGATGGCGTGAGTTCGTTTCCCCACTTAGGTACAATGTATGAAGCCCATTCGTGGTGTCAACCGACGTGATATTGCTGAAATATTGCAGCAACTCACCATGCCCAACTAACTCACCCACTCACTCACTCACTCGAAACTACATGGAAAACAACTATGAAACCTTTTAAGTTTACCACCACTGAAGGTTTACCAGCACTAAAGAGTACTATGTTTGTTTCGTTAACAGTGGCATTCAACTAAATCTACAAAACCCTCACCATCACCATAAAAGTTCATTGCATGATTTTACAAGATCATAAGCATGCGTCCATAAATATATAACGTGTCACTATGAAACAATATGACGACAGGTGCTCAGAAAAGGTGTTACCACCTGACACCGGCACAAACACACGCAAAGCCATGCACTAGAATTGAACATACGGAAATGCAGCCGGCATTATGTCACATATGTATCAAATCTGTGTGTTGGTTGAATTTGTAGAATGACTGACTTTGCAAGGCCCACATCTGACCCTGTTCCACGCCCTGGAGATGTTATTACACGTGCATTAAATGTGTTATAAATATCTCAATCGCCACAGAATGATCAAATATGGACTCTTTTGTTGTGATAGAAGGACAGTAATGTTGGTCGTACTCACTTTGCAAGGCCCACATCTGACCCTGTTCCACGCCCTGGAGATAGGCGCTGACGTCAGCTGTACATCGGTCCTCGCTCTCAAGACCCTCTGGACTCAGGAAATACTGCACCTCCTCCAACGTCGACAGCAACGACGTCTCTTTGCTTATAATTTGTTTTAACATATCTGTCATACCGTTTTGATATTGGAGTCCCCTTACTGACATTAACGCTTGAATCAATTGGGGAATCTGCAAAATTGATTGCAACATTACAGCTAACACTTCCGGTTCAGCAGATGAAACATGACCTTGAGAAGTACCTATATGGTCAGAAGAACTGGCAACAAAATGCAGCTGATCCGTAGGTTCTTCAACTCTTCCATGCTTATAGTTTGAGGGACTTGGAAGACCTTGGATAGCTTTTTGGCTCTCCTGGGTGATGCTGTCTTCTGTTCGTGAAATCAAATTATTTGGGGAACTTTCATGTTTATACAGATCAGTATACGTTTGAAAGGTGTTAACTGAACACATGCACACCAAAATGATGATACATTTGTATGCTTCTGTCTGAAACATCCTGCTCCTCGGTTGGTGTTCTGAGTCGACCACGTCGGATCAGATTCACTGTCATAGGTGACTCAGTGCCTTGGCATCATGATATGCAAAAGAAATTCTTCAAGTCTTCACGATAAACTCTGTGATATCACTGATATCGACTTGACTCACTCGGCTGACTTGACATCAACTGATGGTGAAACACTATGCCAGACACTTAATGGTCACACTCCGTTTTATCCCAAATCCCACATGGTGGTTTTGGGCTGTTAGGTTAATTAGACCTGCCTGACCTCATGCATTGTATTGTATTTTGAGTCCTGACCTATACCGTTATTACTTAAACTACATGTATTACTGGCAATATACGACAGCCGGCCCTCACAGCATGTGGTTGGAATCTTGCTGCGTGTGGCCAAGCAACAAATAAATAGATCACGTTTATTGAGCACTGGTGTGAGAGATCACATTGCCCTTCAGATTAACATGCACAGTTGGGGTTGTCTGGCTCAATTCTATCATAAAACATGTGAAAAACTGACGAATGACTATAATTAACATCCTTCAGCTTATGTTTAATTAATATGAGGTAAAGGTAACGTCGCGTTCGAGAATATCGCAATATAATGGCGACCTGTTTACACACGCACGCACACACAAACACACACACACACACACATATATACTTTAACACGTTACCCCACACAAACACAGTATACTGATGCTTCCTGACCGACAACTTCACATTTTGTTCCTTTAATTTCCAAAAATAGGCAATTTAAAGTCTTGGGGTTTAGTTTTAGTATTACGCTAAAGTCTCATGGTATAAACCTATGAAGATCCGGTTAGAATTGATTTTCTTGATGCCTGCAACCGTTTCTCAACTGTGCAGATCGATGCTCATGATATCGCACACATGATTGCCTGGTCCAAACTATTTATAGAAAACATCTGAAATGTTGCTGAGTAATGTAAAAAAAACACTTAGGTAAGATGTGCCTTGGTTGGATCCACTGACCACTGCTTGTTGCATTTGGATAACAGTGAGAAAGAGGCACTTCCTCTGCACCGAAAATATCCGATGTACGTTTAGATAGAACAGTTAATTGCTACAACCAGATGTCGTCTTCCACACCTAACGCAAAGACCATCTGCTTCACGTTAGAAGGTTGCACTCACCCCGCCTCCCAGTATAATAGACATTTTCAATATGTCCCGTCAATATAGTCCCGTCTATAATGGAAAACTGAGTGAGTGACTTAAATATTAAACCAAATTCTTTGGACAATGAACTAGCAGGTGCACCGTGGGGTGTACTGACAGGTAGGTTATGACAGCTGCAGAACAAAAGCACTTTTCATTAACATATAGTTTCATTCAAACGTAATAACAACACCATAGTACTATAAAATATCTGCAAGGGCGTATCGAGACATGGGGTTCACTAAACATCTGCTATTGTATTCTTGAAAATGGCAAATCCTGTGCGCTACAAATAGCACTGTATTCTGCAGAGCTGATTGAATATTAGGTTCGATTCTTAACGAAAGGTGAAAATTCCGCTTTCTAACACAGTTCGACCCTGGACGATGCGGGTTAGAATTGGTCTTCAGTAACCCATGCTTGTCGTGAAAGACGACTAACGGGATCGGGTGGTCAGGCTCGCTGACTTGGTTGACACATGTCATCGGTTCCCAATTGCGCAGGTCCATGCTCATGCTGTTGATCACTGGATTCTCTGGTCCAGGCTCGATTATTTACAGACCGCCGCCATATATCTGGAATATTGCTGAGTGCGGCGTAAAAATATACTCACTCACTCATTTTACATATTTCAAACAAGTATCAAGTGCATTGGTCACACAAAATGTCTCTGCTTTAACCAACAAACTGACAGTAGTGTAGTCTGTGTATGGTATATGGCACTGTATTAAAACATTCCTAGGAAAGTCCTGCTGGGTTCCGGTCCAGTGAAAGGTCCCAGGAGCCGGCGACGAAATACGACAGAGCATGTTTATGAATCACAATCACATAGGGATGATACAAGGTGTTATTGAAACGGACAAAACACACCAGAAGATGTCACACTCCATGCTCAGGGGAAGTCATGCCTTCCAAATGATGAAAATTATGTTTATTTTCTTTCATTTTTTTTCATAATGTCTGTTTTATTAAAGCAACCATTGAAAACTCGAAATTTCGAGAAATGTTTGAAATAGCTAGAAAACAATTGAAATACATGGAAAAACGGAATTTGGAGTTATTTTTAGACTTGCAATATCGACAAAATATCGAAGAAACGAGAAAATAATCCACCAATCGTAATTTCGATTTTATAAATATATTCGAACTGACGAGAGGACAATAAAAGATGAAAGGAATCGAGAAAATAATCGAACTAATGATCTAAAAGGTCATTCATATAACGCAGAAACAATCAAAGTAACAGCAAATACCTGGACGCTTCGTGTTTTTGAAATATTAAGAAACTGAAGAAAAAAACTCCCTCGAATATATCAAAGTAGGATTTTATCTCAAAATGTTCTACCGTTGGATTTACATCACATTATATATAACAACAAGTTGATCACTATCCGTATATATATATATATATCCGTCCCACACTTTATTCAGTGAGTTAACTTGCGCCATCCATTGTGATGACTACTTCTTGAGCCTTAGCCTGGTGAGGACCACCTTCTCCAGACCGAGGCACGGAGACTCCACCAACACACAGGTGAGGAACGATAGGGCGTAGGAGACGGTGAATGTCCCTATGAAGTGGTAGCTCTGAAAATCAACGCCTGGTTGTTTTAAATATGCACACATGCATCCGCTATGTTTAAATAACCAAATGCAAAAATACCGGGAAAGTAAATATTCCTTATACCGAAACATGTTTAAGTCAAAGAGAAATGATGGGATTTCCGGGGTTTGGTTGAAAAGGTAATGCGAGCGAGACGGAAACGACCGACCCCATAAACGTACTAAATCTGAATACTTGGTGAGTGTTGCAAACAGGACAACTGTGAATATGAGTTAAATATTTGTGACATTAAAATGAAAGTGTAAGGTCAAGGTCACAGACATTTAATGCCTGATTGTTTTGAACATTCGCGCATGCAATCGTCATGTATCAATAACCAACTTCAATTATAAAAGGAACATAAATATTGCCTTATACCTTTAAATCGGATTAAAAAATTAAACCATGTTCAAATGTGAACTTCTAATGGTAAATAATGGGTGGAAAGGGCAGCTGTTGGACTTTAATCACTCTTGCATTATACTGCGAAACTGCTTTACAGTCCTTCATTTGTTCTGCCACGGTTGCAGACTTCCACCCACATCATCACGCCTTCACCGCTAAATATGTCGACCTCCTGTATACAGGTGACGTTTTTAATGCTGACTCGATACAGACTCAAAGCTGAATCTTTACTCATTTTCTCGGAATCCGTTCAGGTCGGATATTGGATGATTGGTTTGTTACTGAACTCAGCAATATTCTAGCTATATGGCGGCGGTCTGTAAATTATCGAGTCTGGACCAGAAAATCCAGTGATCAACAGCATGAGCACTGATCTACGCAACTGCAATATGGTGACATGTGTCTACCAAGTCTCTGAACCTGAGCACCCGATCTCGTTAGTCGCCTTTTACGACAGAAACGAACTGCTGAAGATCAATTCTAACCCGGATCTTCACGGGTTTGCTCAGATATTACTTGAAGTCCTGGAATTGCCGCTGCAACATGTAATGTCTTTTTGATGTGATATAACCTTATAAAGTTTTTGACCACAATGATTAGTCCATCATCAACCGATCGCGATTCTTCTTTTCTCAATTGTCAGCTTCTTCAATCAGAGCATAGCATAACATAGAATAGCATAGCATAGCATAGCATAGCATAGCATAGCATAGCATAGCATAGCATAGCATAGCATAGCGTTGCTTAGCTAGTTGATGAGTGAGTGAGTGAGTTTAGTCTTACGCCGCACTCAGCAATATGCCAGGTATATGGCGGCGGTCTATAAATAATCGAGTCTGGACCAGACAATCCAATGATCAACAGCATGAGCATCGATCTGCGCAATTGGGAACCGATGACATGTGTCAACCAAGTCAGCGAGCCTGACCACCCGATCCCGTTAGTCGTCTCTTACGACAAGCATGGGTTACTGAAGATCAATATTCTAACCCGGACCTTCACGTGTCAGCTATAGTTGATGATATCAACCGGGGTCCGATTTCCCACATGAGCAATTGTGTGAAGGTTTATCTACATTGTACTACAAGCTGCGCCAGACTCACTCCTGAGGTCACTTATCGTAAGGTATAGTACCAACCACATATACAACATCACAGACCTCACTGAGAACTCGGTATAGGACAACTCATATCAACCGACCCTTGTTCGATTCCTTACAAAAGTGAAATGGTGGTGTGACCGAACCAGTGCTACTCACTCCTTCACTCACTTTTAGATTTTAGGTATTGTAGGTATTCGTGCTACCTACCACAAAAACAACATCAACATATCTCAGAGACCTCACTGAGAACTCGGTATAGGATAACACGACTGTGTGGATCAGGTAGGCCCCGTACGTCAGTCTACCCAGAGGAATCCAAGCAGACCAGGAGAGGATACTGTTGATAACACCTGTAATGGTATCAATACCAGCATTGTACAACTTTCCATCTCTAACCGTCTCCCTACACGAAACGTTACATAATGGGTGTAAACGACTATGGGAAATTTGAATTGTCATTGATATGTAATACTGTTTGCTTGTTATCTTACGTGACTGCCGGGACACGCACACCCGCAGAACAACTCATAGTACCCTGGACGGTGGGGTAGCATAGTGGTTAAGGCGTTAACTCGTCACGCCGAAGATCCGGGTTCCATTCCCCACATGGGTACAATGTGTTGAGTCTATTTCCGGTATCTCCGCGTCGTGATATTTCGGAAATATTGCTAAAAGCGGCGTAAAATTTAACTCATCATTGTAGAATGAATAGTATTTACTCTATAACTTTGCGTCTCCAAATTTTACATTGCCGGGTGTGGGGAAAGATGATCTTGGATATCGGCTATAGCAGGCAAACCAAATCTTAACTGTTTAAACTATGAGCATACTATTTGAACACACATTTCGCAAAAATGTATTTGTTGTGGCCGGCCATTTTTTTTTAAACAGGCTGTTGCATAATCATTCTTTTTAAAAAATATATTTTACTATACATTCTTTCGGATGCCTTCCACCAGATTACCAAAAGGTCCTTACAAAGACAAGTCTTACCTCCATTACGCGTGCAGCATACCAAGATAATCCAAGACACAAACAACGCCCATCCGGGCCTGGAGAGTGTTTGGTAGACGATTCTGGAATTTGTGCCCCATTGTCTGTCAGCATCTCGCATCTGGTCATATGTCACATAGCAGCACAGAAGTCCAATAGCCAGGAAAACCAGCCACCCCAGCACCAGGAAATACTGCAACAGGCAACGCTTTGGATACTGATAATGTTCTCATCTCTCTGAATCTGTGGTTACATGAATTTTGAGTTCTCCGAGCAGTGTTAGCGAGTGATTTGGTTTTTGAGTGTTCTTGCAACTGTATTACTAAGTCGACCTGGGGTACTTCCCCGTCAAGCAACGATGAAAGACATTATTAACAGAAAGTCGCAAAATATAAGATAAATGTATTTTTTATAGTATATTAAAAACAGAAAACAATAATCAAAGGAAAATCCAGGGGTCCAATGCAAGAGTCATTGTCAAGATTCATTTGATCCGTTTTCTTTTACGTAATGATGTTATACTTCAAGGGACCATGACACTAGGTTGATACATATGCACTGATCATAATTTGGTTTTTCTATGGAAACCCTGACGAATTTAGGCCAGTGAGAAGACGAATGTTTCCGTAATAAAAAGTAGGATTCGTTACCTGAATACAGATACTGAATATTGATTAATGAATGCCTTACTCTTCGTATCTTGAGTTTACACTTGGTTTTGTGTAGCAAAACACCAAGAAACATTCCTATGGCGAAAACACCGACACGACACCAGGGAACACGGTAGACCTTGTCCATAAATTCCCTTCCGTTCCTGGGATGAAAGCATCATTCAAGTATATGTTTTAAAAATCCAAATCATACGATCTCGTTCTCTTTCGTAATATATATTGCATGGACGTAAGAAATAACAATCTACATTGTAACCTTTTGTTTAATGGTGCAATTAACAATATTCTGCCAGGAGGTGATGGCGTGTACATCAGGCGAGTAGAAGGGATAAGGCCCCTTCCACATCCAGAAGAAATCTTTGCTAACAGCAGAGTCGATCATACAATTTATATTTGTTTCAGCAGTACCCCAGCTGTCAGTGAAGTCAGTGAGTGAGGGATCCTAGTTCAATCCCTTGTAACAGTATTTCACTTATCACAGGGCGTGTCAGCCCGACATGATGCTGTCCTCAGACGTCTACCATGTCAACGCTTTGATGAAGGGGCGGTGGGGTAGCCTTGTGGTTAAAGCGAAGACGCCGAAGACCCGGGTTCGATTCCCAACATGGCTACAATGTGTGAAGCCCATTTCTGGTGTCCCCCCCGCCGTGATATTGCTGGAATATTGCTAAAAGCGGCGTAAAACTGTGCCCCATGACTTTCGTGAAACCTATGAGCGTGGATTTGCTGCTGGCAAAAACGTGGAAACATACGAAGAATGGGATTTGGGCCCGCAATCCTGGGTTTCTTTCGTGCCCAAGGGCCGAAACTCTGCGTCGTATTCTGCACCTCAGACAACAGGGCCACCCGAACGTTCCTCACCATAATCAAATCAAAAGAGTGAGTGAAACCAATGCCAAAGCCACCCTCTTAGATGCAATGAGCTAAGTCAGTCAAGCCTGACCGCCAGGTCCAGCATGGATACCGGGGTAGATATCGTTCCAGGATTACTGGATATTGATATCCACGCACTGGTGCATGCTCAAGGCTCTGATTTTGTTCAACCTCAACGGCACATCGTATTAGCAATCTCAACTCCCCGGGGACATACAACTCTTGCAGCAATAGGCGCACCCCTCCTTATGAGGCAACGCTTTCTCATTCTTATGAGGACCCCGGCAGAATGACCGCTTCTTAACGGCTTGCCCTCATATCGCCTACACCTCAATTCGCCTACAATAATTATAATGGCCAGTTCTACCACCCCTATCATAATAATGGGTATTATCCAACTGGCTGTTAACAAACAAATATATCTTGTACATGTTTTGGTTGTATAAACATGACTTGCTTATGTTCTGTCTTTGATCAACTTTACATCATGCCGACCTTTGCCAGTGTACAAGCCGCCTTGTACAGACAGAGAGCCAAGTCGGTTCCGCCAGTTCCTGATTGTGGCGTCAAGTTATGGAGCAAGGACCAGATAGTCAGCAGATGTCCACATTCAACGACTATGTAACAAGTACCTGGGTAGAAGACGACGCAATATTTCCCTGTAATATCTGGAACCAGCACGAGAACACTGGACCTCGCTCCAACAACCACCTGGATGGATTTCACAATGGACTAAAGAAGACAATGTCCCGGTCACATCCCAACATTTACCAGTTCATAAAAGAAATCATAAAAAGAAAAGAAAATACCTCATTAGTGGTATAGCAGCATTTACGTGATGTGCAGTCAACCCCAAATTTGTTTTGATAAGGGTGTAGGCGATATGAGGTGTAGGCGATATGAGGTCAGGCCTTCTTAACCACACTGTCTAGACAAATAACGCAATTAGCGTAGGAACGTTTTGCATCAGTGATGAACCATTACTTACCAAAGTAAAGAGCTGCCTCCAGTTTGCCATTCCAGATATCCGTATGATATAATATGTATAGCAATGAATCCTGATATCACACAATAACCAATCCTGGCAAAGCTGAAAAAAGATTTTTTTAAATCAAAATTAAGAAATAAACCAATTGGTAAATGTTTTCCAAATGTTTGATTAATAATTCCTGAAACTGAACTCATTGGTGAGCTAAACATTCGGTCGTCAGTACTGAGACCCGGATTCAGTTAGATTCGTACAATGTGTCAACACACTGAGGTTCACTACCGTGACATTGCCGAAATACTGTTCACAGCGGCGTGAAACAATACTCCCTTGCTCACTTCATTAAAGAACCCGGGTTATAATTGATCTTTAGCAACCCATGCTTGTCGCAAGATGCGACTACCAGGATTGGATGGTCTGGCTCGCTAACTTAGTTGATACAAGTCATCCCGTTGATCACTGGATTGTCTGTCCAGACTCGATTATTTACAACATAATTAAACAATTCATTAAAGGGAATAGTTACCCGAAAGCAAGTGGCAGTAAAGCCAGTGGCGCCACAACGTAAAACTGCATATCATTTGCCAAGAACCAGGAAGCTGGAAGACACTGAAACAGACATAAATGCCACGTCTAAGTGGAACCAAAGTTACCAAGACAGTAACCAATAGGCAGCTTGGGTTATGAGGTCCATAATCTTATACGGGATTATCTCAGAGTCGTACGACACGTTTCAAGGTCCAGATATGAAATATGCGACAGGAATACAACTATAAAGCTGTTTGTCTCTGCAAACATCGGGTATGTATTGCCTGCTCAGATGATAAGAGTAATAAGATATTAGCTGATAGAAAAAAAAGTGCTTTGAGGAACATGACTCACATTTGGTGGGACTTGTTACTGCTTTAAGCTTCTCAAAAGACAATTACGACTGTTTGAAGACCTTTATGTTCTAGTTTGAAAATATATGCATTTTTATTAACAAGCGCTATTCCAACAAAGTCATCATTTTGGAAACAGTTGAAAGAATTTCTGCATTATACAATCAAAAATAATCATGATTAAGTTTACCATTTCGTCGATCTTATACAAATTGTTGATGTACAGCATATTGGCCCACCAGTTGTCCCGACAATGGTCCTTGTCAATGAGTTTTTTTGACTCAGCCAGCGGTCCGTCTATGAGGTGGTCCAGCAAACCCGAGTATACCATGATGATTATCATATACACAGGGGTCAGTCTGGAACATGTTGAGGCTCATTATGACACATTACGAGGTTCAGAAAACCAGTATTTGACGGGTTTGCCTGTGCGCTGGCTTATACTTTTCCTACCCAAGATCGGACACGGAGTTTGAATGAAGATTCCGGAGGGATCCCTCGTTTGTTGGTTCTGGTAAGAATTTCGTTTAACTCATATGTTTGATCTGCGTAGTTATAATTTACCTTTCTAAGGTCAATGAAATAAATTGATAGAATAGTCATGCCATGATGTTTCGGGAAGGGTTGTGTTTAGGAGCTGCCAGGAAATATGGATGATACAAAAATTACGATTTACATGAATGATACGTATTTCAGAGCTTTGGGTGTTACTAGGCCTGTGTCAGAAGCTGATATTCTCCATATGGCTAGTGGAACACCGCCATTCCGCCTTGCCCCACATCTCATATTTTACGAAGTCTTATTCACCCACATTGCCATATCTAATTTTACCATATGCAGTACATTTTCCATTGTGTCATTTTCCCATTCGGGCAATGACAGTTACCTCCACCATCTGTGGATGTAGTAGATGACCATCTGTGTGGCTGTAGGCTTCCCTCTGGCGGACTTGTCACATTCTCTCAGGAACAAGAAGGTCAACAAGCAGCCGCTGAAAAAGATTATACGTGAACTGGCAAGAATGTAGATCTGGGAAACAAATGTTTTCTTATGGAGATGCTTGTATCCATGGATGGATGTGTGTTTTTTTATGTTATCTCCTTCCAAAAGAAAACAACTGTTTTAGAGTCAAATATTCTGACTCAAATTAAAGGTTTTAACATCCAGTGAAGCAACATTCCACATGCTTATTGTATGTTACAAAAAGGATACTTATTGACTGAATGTATGTACCTGAGCAGAAAGAATGTATCCACTGCGACTGAAGCACTGACGATAAACTGCATGGTGAATCTTCTCGACCATTCAGCATAATCTGTTACGTTCTCATCTAGAAACATTGGCGATAACATTTAGACATTTATCAGCTGAGTATTAATAATGGAGAAATGATGATAGATTTATTCAAACGGCAGATTTATTTATGATCACCACAGCACAAATTATGAATCGTGTGATGCACTCACAGATCATAGGGGTAGCCTTGTGGTTAAAAGCGTTCGCTCGTCACGCCGAAGACCCGGGTTCGATTCCCCACATGGGTACAATGTGTAAAGCCCATTCTGGTGTCCCCTGTCGTGATATTGCTGGAACATAGCTAAAAGCGGTGTAAAACCTCACTTACTCACTCACTCACTCACTCACTCACTCACTCACAGCTCATAAGTCCATCCCAAGAAACAGCATGCCCGAGGATGACCCAGGCCATACTGAGTACCCGGATGCCATGGATACAGCCCAGGTTTCCATCCCCCGTCCTGGTACTGAGGATCTTCTCAGTGTTCCTGCTGATTGAGAACGACAGGAGGAATTGACGCCCAAAACCTTGAAATAATAAACAGGTATGACTTGAAAGGACAATTTGGCTGAACATATTGACAGATTTAACAATCATTTCCTAAGAAATCCCCGAAGTAGTTAAAGGAATGATCCTGGATGTAGAACGGGATGTCTGGCATTATGGTAGGACGCACGTTTGGGTCATAGCCAAATGTCGAAACTTCACTTAGGTTGTTTTTGCTTGGTTGAAAAGGGAAAGTCTGTTGGAACCTACTTCCCAGTCGCTGTGCATAATTGCGGACCCTGAACACGCCAGTCCTGGGTTCGAATCCCGATGGTACCAATTATGTTTCTAGATTTGTCAGCACGATGGGCCGTGGATTTCACGACATTGGGCTTTTCTCTCGCAGGATTCTGACACCGGTTGAAATCACAGTTCAAAGCGGCTTTCAAACAAACTCCAATAAAGTCAACTAAATGGAATGAGAAACTTTGGTATGACGTTTAGGAATTTAATATTTTTATAAGTTACAAAGTATTGTCTTCTACATAAGAGTTTCGCATTAGACATGGGACTACAATCAGGTCAGTTTTAATCAAAAATATATCAGTGTACATCAGCGATTGAGGTAAATGCAACTGTTTCTCTTGTGCATCTTCTGAATACGTTGACAACAGTTGGCGATGTTGACAAAACTACATTACACAGCTAATTATGAGCCACACATTCTTATTTGATGGGTAATGAATTCCCAATATATAACATTAACGTCGCTATGAATGCGCCGGTGAATGTTACAAAATGTGTTTGGAAACACACGTCCACAATGTTTATTGTGACTTGGTCACAATCAAAACACTTTTCGATATATAGTATTTTTCGTTTTCTTTTGTATATGAAAATAATCCCCGAACACCAGGTGTTTACTTTCCTTTTTCGTCAGTTTATGAGTGGAGCGGTGGGTTAGTCTAGTGGTTCAAGAGATCGCTCGTCACGACGATGAGCCGGGTTCGATTTCCCACATGGGAACAATGTGTGAAGCCGATTTATGGTGTCCCCCGTTGTGTTATAGTTGGAACATTGCTAAAAGCGGTGTAAAACCTCAAACGGAATATAACTAAACTCACTCACTCAATTATGACTTGCCACAATTGATAATTATTGATAACTAACTCGACACATGAGGTTAAGGGACTGCCTTCTGACACTGCTGTTGCGGGTTACCTTCGCTTTGATGTTTGTCCTCTTGATTTTCTAACCGTTGTAACCCAGGACGTTCTGCGGTGCAGCTAACGTTTTTACATGGTAGGCCGTCGTCATCTTTCACGAAGACGTCGTTGTTGTAGGCGCAAGCCTCAGATTCACCGTCACCGTCGGTGTTGTCATTGTGGCGTTCACGTCTGTACCTGTCTATTTCAGCGCTGATGATATCATACAGGGTCCCCACAAGAGATAACGCGACGATGAAACATAACACAACCCTGCAATATATAGGAGTCAGTGTTAAAGAAGGAGACTGATTGCAACAACTATAGAAGGATGTCTAGTGTCATACCATCCATTTAAAACTTTTGTCAAGACGATGAAACATAACACAACCCTGAAAATATAGGTGTCAGTGTAAAGGAAGGCTGGTTGGTTAGTTGGTTTTTAACGGGGCACTCAGCAATATTCCAGCTATATGGCAGCGCTCTGTAAATAATCGATTTTGGACCAGAAAGCCCTTTGATCAATAGCATGAACATCGATCTACGGAATTGAGTAGATGGCATCAAATCAGCGATCATGACCACTAATCTGTAATAGGGTGTGAGTATGGTTTTACGCCGTTTATTGCAATATCCCTGCAATATTACAGCGGGGAACACCAGAAATGGGCTTCACACATTGTACCCATGTGGGAAATCGAACCCGAATCTTCGGTGCAAGCACAGGGCGCTTTAACCGTTAGGCTACCCCACCGCCCCGATATGTAATAGGAGACAGACTGTAACATATATACATAGAAAGACTGGCTAAGTCTAGCGCCATAGCACCATGTAACATGTCTGTCTAACATCATGGTAGGATGCAGTAATAGTCATGACATCCGTGTCGGAGTGTGTATTTTCGTTAACAATAGAAATTGTGAAAATCGAGAGATAAATCACATCGAGTGCAATATAATGAATATTGACAAATAAGAGTTACACTGTTGCCACTGCGCTTGGGTCTTCCTTCCAGTCCGTTAACTTGGAAAAATAGGCCGACATCAGAGAAGATCCAGTAGCGTTCAGAGGTACTACAAAAACATTCAAACACCAGTAACGTGAAAACACTTGCAATACACGTCTGTATGACACTATACGTTATCCTCAGACATGGCATCTATTATGAATGTAGTTCTATTTTATGTGCATTGCTTATAACCAGTAAATACACTGCATGGCCAAATGTAAAACTAGCAAACATGTCTGAGATGATAAAGTAAATTACTTTTCCTTTTATGAAATGTAAAGATACTGACTTACTTAATCGATTGTCTTACTTTTCCTCATATGACATAGGGTTCAACTCACATCTTGAAGCTGCCTCCGTCACTTGACTATCATTGCAGGAATTTGGTAAACAGAGGTCCCATTGTATGTAATTGTGGTATGGGTCGATCTGCAATATTCTTTTTAATGTAATATGAAGGATTTTATGTAAGTATATCGAGGGCGGAAGGATTAGATCAAGATATTTTTTATAAGCATGGATGCCATGATACTTGATAAATATTTCTATTGTACAGAAACAACCAAAAATCAAAATTTCGAGAAAATATCTTAAATAGCGAGAAAATAGTCGAAGCAAGCGGGAAAACTTTGGCATCACGAGTTTTTAAGTTTTTAATTTGAAACAACGAGAAAATATACGAATTTAAGTTCCGAGAAAAAAACTCGAAATTTCGAAAAATAACCAATAATTGAAACAACGAAAATGTTTTTGTTTAAAGTGTAATCCTAGTGGAATCATCAGCTTTTCGGACGCGCGAAACATTAAGTGTTGTGGGAGGTGATGATTGCTTACAGAGTTTGATCAAAGTTTTGCTAAGTATCACACGGTTGTAGAGGAAACGTACCGGCAGTGGGTCATCGCCGTTGGTAAGATTGGTTATGGCCGCAGGAAGAGTGAATTTAAAATGACAGTAACCTCCATTTATCACACGACTTTGTCCCGTCCTCTCATTGGTCAGTGTGTGTGACACATCCAGACATTGGTCGTAGTTGCCAAGGAATTTGATAGCTCCTTGTAGAATACTCCTTCCTGGTTTTCCTGAGGCATCAAGCACTGAAACAGAGTACCAGAGCCCTTTGAAGACATTGAAGGCCCGGGCTCAATTCCCCACATAGGTACAATGTGTGAAGCACATTTCTCACCTTTTAAAACCATACACACTCACTCACTCATCGCCAGAGAATTATAAGTATCGACTGGAGATTGGAAATTGGTTCAAATCGGCGCACAAAAATAGTTGTAATATTGACATGAATGCATCACTGAAGATATCCTTATTCTGAATCAGTATCAATGGGTTTCCCTATTTTGGGGGGGCTGGGGGGTGTTACATCCCCATATTTGTGTCAAAATTACCCATGAAGCTCCGGGTTTGAATGATCTTCAACAACCCCTGTTTGATGTGAGGGGACCAAAGGGATCGGATGATCAGGCTCGCTGACTGGGTTGACAAATGCCATCGTATCCCAAGTTCGTAGATCGTTGCTCGTGTTACTGATCACTGGATTGTTTGGTCCAGACACGAATATTTACAGATCGCCGCCATATAGCTGGAATATTGCTGAGTGCGGCGTTAAACAACAAACAAAAAATGTGTTATAAATATCTCAATCGCCACAGAATGATCAAATATGGACGCCTTTGTTGTGACAGGACAGTAATGTTTGTCAGACTCACTTTGCAAGGCCCACATCTGACCCTGTCCCACGCCCTGGAGATAGGCGCTGACGTCAGCTGTACATCGGTCCTCGCTCTCAAGACCCTCTAGACTCAGGAAATACTGCACCATTGGCAACACCTCCTCCAACGTCGACAGCAATGGCGTCTCTTGACCACCCGAACCTTTGCTTATAATAGTCTTCAAGACACTCTGCATACCATCTCCTTGCTGGTTTTCCATGGCGGTCATAAGCATGGGAATCAACTGGGGATTCTGCAAAACTGATTGCAACATTCCCGCCAACACAATCGGTTCTGCAGACGAAGCATGTGAACCTTGAGAGGGATCGTTTTGATCAAAAGACTGAGGAACAAAAGGCTGTTGATCCTTAGCGTCTCCATCTCCTTCGTACTTTAACCTGGAGGAACTTGGCAGAACATTCGAAGCAGTCTGGGTGCCCTGTGTGATATTGCCTCTTTGTTGTGCAATCGGTTTGTTTCTGTCATGATACTTATTAATATCATTATACGTTTGAGATGGCACTACTGAACACATACACACCAAAATGATGAGAATCGTGCATGATTGTGCAGGAAACATGATCAACGTCTTTTATCACGAGAATCTCAGGTGTTGATGATGAACAAAAATATGCACGTCTCGGCGCTAAGTAAGTCACACTAATATCACTGATAACCCGCGGCCTCAATACCGTAAACCATTCAGATATATGTTGACCCGGTTCGACGTGAAATTATCTCTTACTTGCTATCCCGTCAAGAATGCATGTTATAGGCCGGACTGAATTGCACAACACATGCGACAGAATTTGCGATGACCCAGATTATTTGTTTGTTGAGATTTGGCTCGGTTTCAGTGGATTGAGAAACTGTATGCTGCACAGCAGCAGTGCGGGCTTTAAATTTGGAGTGAGTGAGTGAGTTTGGTTTTACGCCGCATTTAGCAATATTCCAGCAATATCACTGCGGGGGGCGCCAGAAATGGGCTTCACAAGCTATGTCACCGCTGTGATATTGTTGAAATATTGCTAAAACCAATATATCACTCACTCACCCACCTTCCGTTACTCACTCAGTTTATGAACCCAGGAAGATCAGGGTTAGAATTGATCTTCAGTAACCCATGCTTGTCTTAAGAGGCGACTAATGGGATTCTGTGGTCAGGCTCGCTAATTCACTCACTCATTCACTCAGTTTCCCACAGAGTTGAACGCTAAACACTGACCGATCTTGATACTACGTGACCCACTTCACTCAACAGGGCCAGTGTACATAACGTTGTCTCTGTGTTAACAGAAGACAATGTCCCCAGTTTCAGCCCGGCTTTCCTCTGCTAATCGGAGACAGGTCTGTTTATAAATGAGAATAGTTACTGTACCCATTGCCTGAAGATTTCATTTTTCGTTTCGTTCGAGAAGAAAACACACTTTGTATTTATACGTGTTTAGGTACATTTGGTATAAATACAGTGTGGGCCACAGAGATTAATATTGTCAGTCATTATACTGTAATCTCCCTATAGAAATATAAGGTATGGGCACAAGACGTAAACGCTCGTTTGTCCATACACTATGGCGCGGTTAACGTAGGTCACTCAGCCCTTGACCTCTGGAGGGAGGGAGCGAGTGTAGTGCTCTCAATGGTATTGCAGTTACATAACTTCGTGTCAGTTTAAAAGCCTGAAATGATGCAACACTGGCAAGTGCACCACTGTGGGTGACTCGGAATGTTAGCGACCACAGTCATCCTCCTGAAGATGCCGGAAAGATCAAGTTCCTCAGCAACCTACTGAAGAGAGCGAGAAAAGAAACAACGCAAATGCACACCCTCTACAATGACCAAGTATCCCAAGAAGACGATGCTGTGGTCCCTCACCTGTCGTCCTTCTGCTGAGACCATCTTCACGGATGTTACCTTCACTGCCTGCCCTGACCTCTGGGATCAAGTCTACATTTTCGTGAGAACCGGCTCCACTACCTACCCCCTGATCTACGCTCTCCTGCCCAATCGACAAGCCACAGCCTACACCAGACTGTTCCAGCTCCTGAAAACCAGTGTCCAGCAGCACATCAACCGACCTCTAGTCCCAAGTAGTGTCCAGATTGCCGCCAGAGTTTCCTCATGCTGAGGTTAAGGGGTGCTATTTCCATTACTGCCAGGCCCTTTGGCGGACAACCCAAGACTTTGGACTAGTAGTGGCCTTCAGGGAGGACCCAGAGGTGAAGAAGTTCACAAGAAGAGCAGTTGGTCTGGCAATCCTTCCTCAGCCTGATATCCAGGATACCTAAAGGATGTAATGAACTCTTCTCCTGACTCCCAGCGAATAAAACATTTCAAGGACTAAACGGTGAACACCTGGATTGACTATGATGCGCGATTCTCCCTGGTACTGTGGAACTACACAAGGCTCAAGAACCAACAACAACTTCCAGGGATTCCACAGCCGGATGAGCCGCTCTCTTCCCCACCGACATCCTAACATCTTTCGATTTATTGAGATCATCAAGAGAATTGAGAATGCAGCTAGGGCCAAGCTGTCCCAGTTAAACTTTGGAGCTGCCCCACCAAGAAGAAAGAGAGTCTACCGCGAGATAGGCAATAGACTGGCAAGACTTAAATAGCAGCTGCAGCAAGGCGAGAAGACTCAGATCCAGTTCCTGGATGCAGTCGGACACTTATTACATCTTGGGCAGTGGAATTTTGTATCTGGATTATAGTGGATCATGTGCTACTACCCAGATAGCATTCGGACGTTGACCCAACGTTGCCAATGTTGGCAAAACCATTGCCAACGTTGGGCCAACGTCTGAATGCTATCTGGGTAATGAACTTTAGAAATGAATTAAGTATGATTAAATAACTTATTGTTATTGATGTGATGTCAAGCTGTATGATTACCAAACTGACATAGTACTATCTTTATTGTTTATTTATTGTGCATGTTGAACTCAATAAATATGCTGAATCAAGATAAAGTCTCATTTATTCTACTGGACTGATCCATTATAAGAAATAGCTATCAGCTTGAGAAATGCTGTTGGTGTCTAAGATATGGGTGTCTAAGTTTTGGGAGGTTACCAAAGGGACACAACACAGTTTGTAGGACCGGGCGTCACAAATATTGTGAGATTTTACAGCCGCTTATGAACAGTCGACTTAATGAGCGGGACTGACAGTTGGAGGCCAGGTGGTGTTTTATTGAAGGCATATTCCCATTCACGTATCCTCTCTATAGACACTGATGTTTACAAATAAGCCCTGTTGTGTATTTCAGTATACAGTTCGCACGGATAATCTGAGATGCCTGAAGTGATGCTGCCCTGATTACGTTCTGTATGTGTTGTATTGCAGCTCTCCATTATAGTTTTAGTGAGTGAGTGAGTTGGGTTTTACGCCGCTTTTAGCAATATTCCAGCAATACCACGGAAGGGAACACCAGACCTTCACACATTGTACCCTTGTTGGGTAATAACCCAGGTCTTTGGGTGAGAAGTGTGGAGAAGTGTGGGGACGAGAAGTGTGTGTGTGTGTGTGTGTGTGTGTGTGTGTGTGTGTGTGTGTGTGTGTGTGTGTGTGTGTGTGTGTGTGTGTGCGTGCGTGTGTGTGTGTGTGTGTGTGTGTGTGTGTGTGTGTGACTTCATTGGAGTATGAGTGAGTGAGCTGAGTTTTAGCAATTGTTCTGTAATACCACGCTAAGGGAAACGAACCATGGCTTCCTCGTGACGAGCGGAGGCTTTAACAACTGACTTACCCCACCCCACTCGAGTATCAACCTTCATAGAGCGAAGGCCGGACTGTATAAACATGACAGCTTGACCCCACTCTTTGAAGGTTAGTTAGTTAGTTGGTTGGTTGGTTAACAACGCACACAGCAATATTCCAGTTTTATGGCGGTGGTCTAAATCTGGACCAGACAATCCAGTGATCAACAGCATGAGCATCGATCTACGCAATTGGGGTTCGATGAGATTTGTAAACAGGGGCGTAGGAACAGGGGGTCTTGGGTGCAAGACACCCGTCCCGTTAGTCGCCTTTTACGACCACCATGGGTTACTAAAGATCAATTCTAACCCGGATCTTCAAGGGTCTATACGTAGGAGCTTGACCTCACTCTTTGAAGGTATAGTATGACCAGAAATTATTGAGAATTTTAGGAATATGTTTAATTGGATTTCTAGTATAAACAACCGTGACCAGTTATCAACCGCTTGGTTTCATTCAAAAGAGACAACTCCGTTAATCCTTTTACATTAGTTTGTGAAGAGTTATCCCCCTTTGTTTACTTGCTAGCAGACGACATTTTCAGTGATCCTCAGTATGGATGATTTAGAGAAGAGGAAGTGGATTTTAGAGTATTATAACAAGGACATCAGATCAGCTTAAGTGATTTCAAGTAGAACAGGCATCCCTTTGTCCACTGTTTATCGTGTTTTGAAAAATATTGCAAATGGATATGGCATTGAGCACCAGGGAGGCGCAGGTAGGCCCAGAAAATTGACTGTCGGTGACAGGAGGCGGCTTCGTATTCTTGTTTCTAAAAACAAACGAAGGAGTTTCGAAAACTTAAGGATGGATATGGTTGATAGAGGAACTGTGGCTGTGTGTAAAGAGACAATTAGAACTGATCTGCATGCAATGGGTTGGCAGAAAAGTCGAGGAATTGCATCACCGATCATGAAACCTGAACAAAAGGAGCGAAGGTTGAACTGGTGCTTACCGCATAAAAATTTAACTGGGACAATGTGATTTTCTCAGTTCAAAGTTCTGTGTGGCTGCTTCCTAATACACTGAAATTCTGGACCAAACAAACTGAAAAACCTTAGTATCAGCGCCCAAAGTACAGTCCGAAATTTAACGTGTGGGGTGGCATATCTGTGTTAGGGGCAACGCCCCTCTGTGTATTTGAAGGGAATATGAACAGTGAGCGGTACAGAGATATTCTCGAGGGACATTTACTTCCATCTGCTCACGTGTTCTATGGAAATGTTGGGATTTTCCAGCAGGACAACGACCCAAAACATCGTTCAAAGCATTCACAGGCCTGGTTTCGGACCCAAAATATGACATTATTAGATTGGCCAAGCTATAGCCTAGACCGAAATCCAATAGAAAATGTTTGGGGACTTATGAAGGAAAGTGTCAATAAGAAAAATCTGACAAATATTGCTGAAATGAAAGAAGAGGTGGTCCGATATTGGGACAGCATGGACCACGACATTCTAACTTCTTTGATCAGTAGTATGCCCTGCCGCATTGAAGCCTACATTGCTGCCCATGGTGACTTGACAAAATACTAACTGTTCACCTCTCTTTGAATCTGGAGTTATGTTCTGCTAATATTCACATTTAATACGTGAGTAATGAGTGAATTGTTTTTTTTAAATTACTATCTTAAATTCTCAATAATTTCTGGTTGTACTGTATTTATAAAATATATAATATACTCCAATGTAATAACGTGTTTATACTGCCAAGTTGATCGAAAGGGAGATATGTTCCGAATGATTACAAATGTTATCGTCTGATGCCGTCACTGTTTCATTTGGCTCTGAAAAGTGATTGGAAAGCTGTGTCAAATAGATACTGACGTAAATGTATTGATAGCTGTTGATTGTCACTGTCAGTCTAGACAAGGACCAGGTCGACACGACAACACTTTGGGATGCACGTGTCTTCGTTTTGTTCAGTTCGATGACTAGTAGCGACTAGATTCTCCGACTTTCACCCAATGTATGCTAAAATAATATTAAAGGGTCTTTTTTTTCTTTTTCTTTTCTCCTATAGTATTGTAGCGCCATGAGCGGGTATTAGTACCTGGATGTAGCGCTATATAAATACCCACATTATTATTATTATCATTATTACACGAACTGAGATAATGCTTCTGTATGCACTCATGCTAAGGAAGCTGCTTGAGTGAGTGAGTGAGTGAGAGTGAAGGAGGGAGTAATATCAAGGTTGGGGAAACCAGAAAAAGGGTTCACACATTGCACCCATGCGAACTGGACATTGAAAAGGATGACATTGATTTTAATTCTGGGGGAACAAAACGAACCGTGATCAGGACAATCAAGTGTTTTCCATGTAAAATACGTCAAAGACCTGCATCACCTCGGACATCCCTACCCGACAGTTCCTCTCATGTCAAGTGGACACATTGGGATGATAACCTAAATAGATGTTCAAAGCGGCATTACATAAACTCACTCACTGACTACTAGTATCAATTTTGATACCTTAACGTCAGTTTACTAATAGCTCAATATTCTCGCTCTAAATTAGCCAAATTAAGTCAAATGAGTTGAATTTTGTGTTATGATAAGTATAAACATACGTCTTTCATTTACCACCTCCAATACATGAATTCTGAGCGAAACTGGGGCGAGCGAGTTTAAATTTTGAGTTTTCGAAAAAAACATTTTTCATCCTTGGCATATATTCATGACAACTGCATGTTTAATTTTGTCAAATCCCTTGTCAGAAAGTGGCCACAGTGCGGAGAGTTTCTGGACTTTTGTGAGTCCAGAATTTAATTGTGACTGTTCTATAATAAAGGTCCGCATTATTCGGATACATACCAGTGGTGAGTGCTTACGTTAGATGTTATTATCAGACTGTGATCTAAAACTATCAGTCCTAGCATTTGCACCAGTGTTGTATCAATAAGCCCACACAGCGAGGGAGATTTACTTTATCACGTCATCTATATTTCAGAGACAGCAAGATCTTTCTATACCGGACACTTACTATTAAGGATCCCTATCAATAACAGACATTACGTTACGTACGACGCTACAAAACACTGACTGACACTGAGTTGCCTTTTCCTACCGCTTACTAGTCACAAAAAATAACTCATCAAAATAACTTTGATCCTTGATTGTCTCAACGGGGTGTTTTGTTAAAGGTGTTGTTAACCACTCGCAAAGACTTCGTAGGGCAGTATTTTCACAGTTACAATTAATTATTAATACGTATCATCTGTCTAAACCCCTGAACATCCTTGTTATAATAGGTCTTTACCAACCCATGCGTGTAAGAGACGACTAAAGGGAAAGGGTGGTCATGCTCGCTAAGTTGGGTGACACATGTCATCGTATCCCAATGGTGTAGATCGATGCTCATGTTGTTGATCACTGGGTTTGCAAACAAACTACATTATCTAACCCTACACATCCTTCAAACCCGATCCCTAATTATATCAAAGGATCTGTTATCCGGATTAACATCCTCTCGCAATGAATTTATTGTGTCAAAAATTCTTTTTTTATAAGTTTCATGTCTAACCTTTCTTCAAGCATTTTCTGGGTCGGTGATTCTTCTATGAATCGCAGTACATCCCATTGCAAAAATATCAAATGGTCCGTCCCTTACGACTTTACGAATTGTCCAACGGGACTACACATTTGTGTATCAGTGTAATATACTATTCATATTAGCTGTGTTTGTACTTACAGAGAGATACCTAGTATCATAGGTCACTGATAACCAGGGACAAATACTCTCTTTGATTGTTCATAGATAATATACGTCACGTCCAAAGTTATATCTAGTTTAGTGTAACAGTCATTAAGTCAATGGCGTGTAACTAGCTCTATGTCGGGGCTAGTGTCAGGTTTCATACCCTCAGCTTGACATCTGTTGTGCCAGAAATATGGATCGTGTTTTTGTTGCTATAATAGTGCTACTTTCATGTCAACTGCAGTCGTTGAGATGCGACGACGGATTCATCGATGAAGCTTACGATGGATTTACCGTAACTGGAGGCCCGTCTTCTGAAACAGACACTCCTGGTCAGGATTCGATGACAGGGTTTTCACAACAAACAACGCCACACTCGTCATCACAAGAAATCAATAAAATGACGACATCAAACAGTATGGGAATAGAGAGTTCTATCAGCCAGGTGACCCTTGAGAAGAAGACAAAAGCGGCTTCAGTTTCAAACCAACAAACAGTTACTGTACCCAATAATCATATTCCAGATGGGTCTGTACCTTCTGCATCAGTTAGCATCAACCCACTTGCAGCGATCGCGGGGCTGCTGATGCAGAGTCCTCAAGCTAAGAACATCCTTGGATTAATATTTGGCCAGAACAACATAGGTAAACTGGAGGAGTTGTTCAGAAACGTCACGTCATCAACTGAAGTAGCGGAGTTGTTTGGAAACCTCACATCTTCAGGTCAAGGTGGGCCCAGTCGAGAAGGACTGTCTAAGCTTTTAAACAACCCCTCAGTCCAAGCAGTTATGGAGCAAGTATTTCTGCAAGTTCAAAATATGCTGAAGTCGTTCGTCCCGAACATTTCCCCGTCTCTGGACAATATCACGCCGGCTCAACTGTTTCAGGCTGTCAGTGATATGATCAATGGTTCAGGAACGGGCGGAAATTCGAGCACTGGTGCAATTATGCAAGCGGTCATGTCTGCTTTACCATCAGTATCAGGATCTCTGAGTGCAGTTCTGAAGAATTTCGGCGTTAACGTTAATGCCACCGACGTCATGGAACAGATTTCAGAACTTGTGCCTGTATTCCGTGAGCAAGGCAACGTCACTGCACTCCAAGAGCTTGCTGCCAATGCAACTGGGCCTGTTGGCATGTTGTTGGATGTCTTACCTTTGGCCATCAATCTTGGACAGATGATGAAGCCAGAAATGGTTTCAAATGAGAATTTATGTCTGGCTGATTTCAGTGCCTTCGTCCAGAGTCTTCCTTCGAAGCAGATGTGGGCCCTTCGAAGTAAGTTGGTGAGTGAGTTTGACGCCGTTTTGAACAGTGTTGCAGTGAAATCACGGCGTGTCAGTTTAATATGGGAAGAAATCACGTAGGAATGCAGGCATCTGCCAATCTGGTGAAAGTCACAGACATGGGTAGGGTGCTGAAACAATCATAGACCCACAGTGACTGATAGCGAGAATCACAGCGCTGTGGCACATCTAAGGGATGCAGATTTCCACGATGAATTACCAGGCCTTTGACAGCTGGGCTACCCGCAACTTATTAGTAATGATAAGAAAAATGAAATTAATTGTGTACATTCTCATGCTTACTTCAAAAGTTTAAGATAGATATTTATATTGAATTCAGTATTCATTCTTCGCACGGACGAAAACAGTTGATAACACGACAAATGGGTTACATAGGAATTTGCGTTGGTGTATTTTGTAACGTAAAATAATGTTGTGTATATTTTCAGTTTTCTATGTGAAATACGAGCACAGTTATTTTACGCCGCATTCCCATCTCAAAGGGGTCTGTCAATAATTCAGTCCGGACCACCCAATCCAGTGATTAATATTGCGTGCAACGATCTACATTTGAGACACGATGACAACGAAGTCAGCCAGGCTGGCCACCCTATCTTATCTTGTCATATAAAGCATAGGTAGCTAAAGAGATAGGGATAGGGGCGACAGATAGCATATTGGTTGCAGCATCCACTGGTCACAAGAAATTTACGGGTTCGATTCTGTACATGGATGCAATGTATGAAACCAATTTCTGGTACCTCCGTGATGTAGCTAGAATTTTGTTTTAATGTGGTGTTAAATCCAAACTTCGCTGTGTGATTCCTGTGTGTTATCAGTTTCACCTATTCAACGTTGTTATGGAATTATCTAAAATTGGTGATGTATTCTGTTATAAAACCTATACACACCTGTTCATCTGGTTTCAGTGTTGGATGCATCTGGGAAGCCAGGTACAAGTATCTTGCAAGGCGCTGTGCAGTTCATCGGGAACTATGATGAGTGTAGGGAGATCTCGGTTACCCTCAACACCACGGTACCCCGTGTTGTACATGGAGAGTACTGGGAATTGACCTTCGCCTATCCCAAGTCATTAGGAAAGCTTATGGTAGTACCTATGCTAGTGAGTATTGACTGTAGCCTTCCAGTGGGTTTGTTTGTTTGTTTGTTTGTTTGTTTGTTTGTTTGTTTGTTGTTTATTGCAACCAGCAATATCCCAGCTATATGACGACAGACGCCGTTGTTTACGCCGTAGTTTACGCCGTAGCTGTAGACGTGGAGTCGGAATAGTCATAGTCGTCGAAGTCGTAATGGTAATGATATCATATGTAGTAATATTGTAACGCCAACTGGTAGTTAAGGATGGGGACAATAAACCCCAGCTCAGCCACACCCCATATTTTCATTGAATACACTAACTGAAATGGGCTATGAATAATATGTTATCATTAGATGAAATATTAACATTTACAACAGTGATCAATTGATTGTGGCTTCTTGTTCAACAGGTCGGGATACCAGGCATCGGTTGGGGCTTCTGTCTTCCTAGGTCCTGTAATGTCAGCTCAGTAACACATGCAGTATCAATGGGCAAGTAACACTTTAGGTTTCCTTTTTCATATTTAACATATACTATTCAAACAAAAGAAACGCATAACCCAGAAATCTGTTGCGAAAATGTTGTATTTTCAAACATGTATATATCGTCAACAAATAGACTTTAGTGCATGAATGGTTGCATTAGTTTAGAAGAAGGAAAGTAACACTTTAGGTTTCCTTTTTCATGTTTAACATATCTGACGGCCTCTTTGCTCACAATTAAGCTGTTGACAGTGATGAGACAGTTTGCACGAAGCGTTACTGCATCCTTGCTCGTAATTTAGATTTTGGCAGTCATGAAACATGAACCAGGGTATGAAACTCCCCAAAAGTTCAGCCAGACCACAGAGCCGGTTAGATGTATAACTTGCCAGTCTTGATCAAAACTTACCTGAACGCAAATGATTTAAGTTTGACAAGCGACGTAGTTTATCATCCAATTGGAATGCATCATTTATTTTTACGAGTGAATTATTGATTATTATCCTGAAATATGATGAATATCTTCATATACATGTCTAAATTTTATTGAGAATTTGAGAATCTGACAGTCTGTGTTGAAAATAACCTGTCCCGGGCGGTCGGGCAGGCAGGTATTTCGAACGCTGCATGAACACTCAATGCTTTTGTAGAACGGGATCAATGTAACTTGTCATTTTGGGATTGCACATTCATAGTAACTTAGACTCCAATACATCTGGGACTGTTTGCATAAAGTATTTAACCACACCACAATTAAGGTGATAGCAATGAACAAACTGTTTGACTATGTAATGAATATGAGGTTTTTTGTCGTGTACAGTACCTTTAGAATGGTTTGGCACCGAGTTGATATCCGCCTCCTCAAGAACCACTGATGACTGGAAGGAGGATGCAAGCGCCATTGCAGCAATGTGAGTCGACATTATAATACGTCCTGGCAATGGGAAGGTATTGGCATGTACAACTGAACAGGGAGGTGGCTGCAATGTTCTCTATCATTTGCAAATGTTCTCTTCAGTAGGAATCATTTGGAATACCAGAAAACCAAAGCCACCATCTTACCCACTGCTGGAACTGCCTTCTTTAGAGATTAGACGTCTTATTACAAGCAGTAGTCAATATACGAATAAACTCCATGATGCCATGACATTTGATGGGCTACCCAAGCTATTTCTTATGCTCTTTCCTGAAATGGATTTTCTTGTTGAAAATAATGCAAATATTGATGTTGCAGGGTTATTTTAGTCCTGATTGCTTCGTTATCGGTGATCGGAACATGCTACGACGTGGTGTCTGGGTGGCTGGCCCTACGCAAAGCAAACAGAGACGACGAAGAGGAGTTTGTGGACGGATTTAAAGAATCCAAGGCTTTCGTCTCCGAGGACGGCAACCGCATCTGGCGCCTTAGTAACGGCATCTCGATGGTAGCAATGAATGGCAGGAGGGTGTACCCCATGGATGAAGATGGAGACCAGATGACCACAGTGATGGGTGGCGGTGACGGGGGGCACCTGCAGGAAGAGGACAGTGATGATGAGGAAAGACCACACACATCCAACACCGCTTACAATGACAGTAAGAATATCACGTTTAAGTGGTTCAGTGAATTTGGTTTCAAGCCGCGTATAACAATATTTAGTTATGCTACGGCGTGTCAGCTCCCTGAAGGTAACCAGTCAAAGATAAAACATGTTTTAGACACTTACCGTTTTAATGACACCAGTGAACTCTGGTATGGTGCTGACAAACTTGGAACCATAATCAGCTTGAACCTGGAGTCTTGCATGGTAAAAGGATGCATCTGTGTACAGGGAACTTCGCCGACTGAGAAACACTGGACCAAAATAAGACGGCGAACGCTTCTTAGTCCGGAGAGATTTACCAACATAAGTAACACGCGTCGTGTTTGCTGCTGTTTGTTGTTTTATACCTCACTCACCATGGTTTAGATATATGACCAGGTCCCGCTTCTAATGTTGCCGTAAGTCTATGTGAAAGCATGGGAATTATATTATTTACGGTCGGTATAGCAAGAATATAGCACTAAACATTTTCTTTTTAATGACAAATATTCATGCTTTTCCGCCTCTCCTATTCACATAGGCTTTGGTCGTCAACTGTTGTTGGCCTTCTCCATCACACGGAACGCGGAGAAGATACTCAGCAGCGCATCAGGGGAGGGCAATCTTGGCTGCATCCATGGCATCCGGGTCCTCAGTATGGCCTGGGTCATCCTCGGACACAGTTTGTCAATGTCTACCTTAACCACAAGTAAAGTTACAAAACAACGCCTACATGCAAATAAGCTTTTTGTAAACGTGTTTTTTGTTTAATGCCGGACTCTAACAACCGGGTTGGGGGCCTGGGGGATTTTATCGAAAAACATAAATAATACCAGAAAATGTTTTACAAGAATAATTATGCTTCAAACTGTTGTAAAAACATTTAGGCTCTTAGTTGTAATAGTTGAAAAACAATATCAGGCCTTCATACAAACTTCACCCAACACCTACAAGCAAACCCCCTCATCTATATCCACTCCTCCGAACATAAGGTAGTCGATTCCATTTTGTCAAAATAGTATATTTGCTTAACTTAAGAACTTTAAAAGATGTTAACAATGTTTTGGCCCTATTTGGCCACCGTACAATGACTACCCGTGAACATTTGGGCTAGAATTGGTCTTCACCAACCCATGCTTGTCTTAAGAGGCTACTAACAGGATCGGGTGGTCAGGCTCGCTGACTTGGTTGACACATGTCATCGTCTCCCAATTGTATAGATCGATGCACATGCTGTTGATCACTGGATTTTCTGGTCCAGACTCGATTATTTACCGCCAGTGCTGTGTTAAACAACAACCAAACCGAAGAAAATCCTTTCAATAACGGCAGGGGGGCGATAAAAGAGATCCCCTTTTCGTTATGTTTTTCATTTTTGAAATTCTAACACCTGTATCTATGATCTCTTCTGTCACCCCCGATAATATAACAAGGAAACTACTTGAGATGTAATTGATGTATTGTCTTTGCGCGCGGTGGGGTAGCCTAGTGGTTAAAGCGATCGCTCGTCACGCCGAAGACCCGGGTTCGATTTCCCACATGGGTACAATGTGTGAAACCCATTTCTGGTGTCCCCCGCCGTGATATTGCTGGAATATTGCTAAAAGCGGCGTAAAACCAAACTCACTCACTCACTATTGTCTGTGCAGCTGAGAACTTGATCGACTTCTCGACCAGGGTCAAGGACTTCACCATGGAGGCTGTACTGAACGGTACGCTCTCAGTGGACACCTTCTTCCTCCTGAGGTAAAGTACAGAATACTGCACCTATTACAGGCCTAGACTATCAAGCTGGTATTGGTAATATATCGGTTCAACAAGCTGTAAACGGTTTTGAAAATATAAAGTTGTCTGTTTGCAATAACAGAACCCTCCCAAACATGTTGTCTGTACCACATCATATGACTGTTGACCTCACGCATGCCCAGTGCAGTACAACTTTGAAACGAAAAAATTACCTTGACCTTCAATATCTAGTTCGTACCGAATGTCGTTGACCTTCAACGTCATCCAGTAACACGCGAGACCATTACTTGTTGTAGACTTTGGTTGTGTTACTACTATGAAGTCTCGTTTCCATGCCAACACTAACTCTTGAGGAAATTACTTACAGTTCGTTTCATGAAAGAACATGTTCATCAAACTGACCAAGAGTGACATATTTGAATTTTTATGAAACATATATTTGAACCATGTTTCACAATTTGGCCGCTTGGGACCTTGACCTTATATGGAGGTCACACAAAAGCTGATGTAGATTAAGTTGTTTATCCGGACCCTGCCCCTAGTTTATACTGTATGACCTTGACCTCATGCATTCAGTCACAACTTATAAGATGCATTTACGTGGAGCAGATAAGTTTTTGTGAGTGCCGCCACACGGGCGGGGTTCAATTGCTATATATTTGACAGGAAGTATGCCTTCAGAGAGTCTGACCTACATCTATACTTGTCATTGCCTCATCTCTGTTTCCAGTAGAAAGTCGAACCAAGATATGGTCATATTGACTACTAGTATACGCTAATATTATTCACCCTAATTATCGAATATTTAAATTAATCCATGTGTTGTAATCATTGCAATACTAACGTCATTTAGAGACCACAAAGTGTTTTAATACTGTATACCAGTAAACTCTGGAAGTAACAATATCATTTTGTCCGAAAGCGTCAAATGCTAAAGCAGAATCGATTACACATGTCATAAACTAATACAAAAGCCATTTCATTGTTCACCCGAAGAAAATTCTGAAACATATATCACAATGCGTCAAATCTTGAACAAGAACGAAAGGTAAGCAAGTGTGAGTTGCTGATGCTAAAATTAGTGCACGACATATATTTACCATTCTCGTTGACATGCAATGTGTATTATTAGATAAAGTGTGAGAAAATTGTTTCGACAGATAATGGAGACTGGTTATTCTCTGGCCTTGACTTACATATTTACGTTCTTCACAGCGGCTGTTTGGTCTGTTATTTGTTCCTGAGGGAGTCCAAGAAGACAATCACAGGGAGACCGACCGTAAAGCAAATGGTGTTATACTACGTTCACCGATACTGGAGGTAAAGGCAGTCAAGACACCACAATAAGAATTGTCTCATACACTTATTTAGGTCTACTTGCATAAAGGATAGACACAGGAAGCCGCTATGAAAAGAATTATATACGATCTTTACAAGTTATAATATATTTCTTTATCTAACTGGTTTTCGGGTAATAGAAGGTTCAATGTGTGTTTCTTCAGTTTGTCACCCATAAACATATTTATAAGTGCATCAGTATATGTTGTTTTTGTGTTGGTTGTTTAACGCCGCACTCAGCAATATTCCAGCTATATGGCGGCGGTCGGTAAATAATCAAATCTGGAGTAGACAATCCAGGGATCAACAGCATGAGCATCGTTCTACCCAATGGGATACGATGACACCCAATCCCGCTAGTGTCTCTTACGACAAGCATGAAGACCAATTCTTACCCGGATCTTCACGGGTCGCATCAATATACGCAGATAAACATTACATTTCGTACATTCATGAACTATCATGAAAATGTTATATACTGAACAGCATTGAAAACGCACCACCTGTAAATTTTGAAATATGGTAATAGGATTGTTTTGAGAGTGAAAATGAACGTTGGGAATGTTGTTAATAACACGAAAGACAATAATAATGCTGTACAGTAAAGAACGGTTGCCCGAACACATCATGGAACACATCACATGACAACAACGAAAGTCATGCACAACACACACGAAAAGCACAAATTGCATGCGTAAAACATGCTGATTAGGGGTTTAAATGACCGTCGGCAAAAAGCCGTTCTCATTTTAGCTGTACCTCCGCAAGTAAAGTTTTTTTGCAATGCGAAGATTGACACCAGGGAAACGAGAGCGGGCGTTGTACATATTGCAGGTTGGCACATCAAGCAGGATTATTGCCAGACAATTTGGTTGTCATCATTCCACCATCATAAGACTTGCCAACAGATACCACCAAACAGGAACCACCAGGGACCGCCAACGTCCTCGCCAGGCACGTGTTACCACCCCTCGCCAAGATCGAGACATTGTTCGGCGCCATATTCGGGATCGTACGTTGCCGGCTGCCAGAGCCGCCAACGCTGTCCAAGGCCGACGTGGTTTGATCAGTGCTTCCACCGTCCGACGCCGTCTCCGTGCGGCAGGATTACGATGTCGACGCCCTTATGTTGGACCCATCCCGACTGATTGGCCGACGATGGGCTGAACAGCATCGTCTGTGGTTGTTACGACGTTGGCAAGGTGTTGTGTTTTCCGACGAGTCACGTTTTCACTTGCGAAATGCTGACGGGCGTCTACGGGTATGGCGTAGACGGGGAGAACGTTACCATCAGGACTGTGTTGTGCAAACAGATCGGTGGGGTGGAGGCAGCATTATGGTGCTGGGAAGGATCAGTTATCATCACAAAACCGCTCTGGTAGTTTGTCGTGGGAGAGTGAATGCCCTTTACTACCGTGACACCATTCTTCAGAACAACGTCATTCCCTTCTTTAACCAACATCAAGATCTGCACACATTGCAGCAGGACAAACCTCGTGCGCACACTGCACGTGTTGCAACACACTTTCTGGCAAACAACAACATTCCTCTATTTCCATGGCCTGCATTGTCACCAGATTTGTCTCCCATTGAACACTTGTGGGATTACATCGGCCAACGCCACTCACGTCGCCCACAGATCAACAACCTTGGGGAACTGGAGTGTGCCTTGCAACAAGAGTGGAATGCATTGCATCAAAACATTATTCAGAGACTTATCAGTTCAATGAGGAGACGTTGCACAGCTTGTGTTGCTGCTAACGGTGGTCATACGCGTTACTGACTTTCCAATTTGATTCCATCGTTCTTTCATGGTCAGCTGAATTAAAACTTCACTGTTTTGCTGGATTGGTTCTTGTTTCTTTTCTTTACCAATCATTGGACTACAAAAGTATGTAAAATTTACACCGATTGCTCATTTATGCTCTTGGAAATCCAAACTTATACAGGTGGTGCGTTTTCAATGATGTTCAGTATATTAAAAGACCCAAGTTTCGATCGTTCGTGGAATGTCCTATGTTTGTATAAAGCAACCTATTACGTGTGACTGGTTCATTGCTCTTTGTGATTTCTTACAGACTGACACCAGTTTACATGATAGTTGTCATGGCGTATACAGGGTTCATGCGCCACCTTGCGGAAGGTCCTTTGTCAAACGCTGACAGTCTAAAGGATGCAGAAAACTGCCGATCAAACTGGTGGACTAATTTACTGTACATTAACAACATCTACAAGAATGACGAAATGGTAATGTATGCATACATTGATTATCAAACCGTTTACACTCAACGTACCTCTACAGCAACGACATAGAGGACATTGTTGTATGAAACTAGTGAAACTTATGACTTATATGACATATAAATTGAGATATTGTGTATTATTTTTACAGGCCTTTTAGATACGTATATTATAAGGGAATATAACAGTTAAATTATACTTACTTAAAAGTAGAACAATCAAAGTTAGTGCAAATGGCAAATATGTGTTTTGTAGCCAGATGTGAATATTCCAATACTGCCAATACTGAAATATGAACTATGTTTCATAATTTGGCCTCTTGCAACCTTGACCTTATAAGGAGGTACCTTTTTTAACCTGTTCACTGACATTTTGCAGTGTCTCGGGTCGTCTTGGTTTCTGGCCAATGACATGCAGTTCCATGTTGTGGCCCCTTTGGCGCTTCTTCCAATTGCTTTTGGGTAAGAACTTTCAAATCGGTAAGTTGTCGATTAAAGGGAATAAAATGCTTTTCTTTCTGGTTTTGTTAGCATCATGAGCACACCAGTATGTTTAGACTGTACTGGAGATAAGTGCATGTAGAGTTCACTCACACAACGTCCAAAACTGCCGAGCACCATACAGCTGACGGAATGGCTAGTTGGAGTGGCACTGTCTGCACAATGGCGTCACTAGGAGACTGTCATCAATGAAACATTGTGTCGGTTTGAACGCCCGAGGAAGCACACAAGAACTTGATGCCATGGGGGCTATGGAAGGCATTTTGAAGATTTGTTGAATAAGTTAAATAAGTCTGAAGGTTCATTGATTTTCTGCTTGATTGTTATGTCAGGAGCACGTCAATTTTCAAGTGTAGTTCTTAGTTTTTCTCCATACTAGATAAGTCGAAAGGCGCACTGACCTAAGACGGTTTGAAGGTTAAGTTACATGAAATATACTGAGGGAAAGAAATAAGGAAACATCACTTCATCACAGTGTTCCTATGTTATTTCTCAGAGTTTCACCCACAGTGCAATACAAAACTGGTAAGGAAACCTGGGAAAATATAGGAGCACTTGATCTTTCATGTGTTCCCTTATTTGTTTCCTTCAGTATATATCAACAAGAAAGCAAAATGGTTGATTGCATTACATGTCATCTGTTAGACAAAATAATTGTCATTATTAATATTCTACATTGTTTCCAGACTAGAAGCCCTGGGAATAATTGTGATGTTTGCATTCCTAGTGATCCATATATCTACATACGGATATTTTGAATATCATCTCAAAGGAGCAACACTTAGTGTGTAAGTTTTTGTTGTTTCTCGAAATTAAAATTTGTTCGTCTGTGTCTTTGTCACCTACAGTGTCATACAGCTCTGTGTGTTCTGCGTTTCTTCTATTACGTCTATATGTGTTTGTTGCGGTGGAGGGCCGGTAGGGGAGCCTAGTTGTTAAAGCGTTTGCTCGTCACTCCGAAGTCCCGAGTTTGATTCCCCTCATTTCTGGTGTCCCCCGCCGTGATATTGCTGGAATATTGCTAAAATCGGCGTAAAACCATGCTCACCCCCTCGCCCATTATAGTGGTGACTTGTGCTACGTTTTAACAGCAAAATGTGTTGCCGACAGTCTGTATATAATCATGTTGGCATCATAAGAATCGTTCTCCCTCATATGAATGTATTGCGTTATTACCGGTGTCCATCGCTGTGTAATTTGAACTTACAATCGATCTTGGCCGGCCTGTTGTTCCATCAAAGTTACAGCATTCAAGGCTTCAGTAAAGCTTTCAAAACGTTTTACAGTAGACGTGGAAGACATTTCCGGTGGGGCGGGATACGCTCACCTTTTCGTGAACACCTGGTATCATCACTATTTTATAAACACGTGCTCTGGCATTGTATCAATCACTGTATTGTCTGGTCCAGACTCGAATTGTTTGCAAACAACATCGTACAGCTGTAATAATGCTGAAACAAATAAATACCCATGATATAGTCACACTTGTACAATCGACTCTGCTTTTAGCAGATATTTCCTATGGATGTAGACAGGGTTTCGCGCTTCTTTCGATGTGTTGATATCATATTGGAAAACATGAGCGTCACGCGAGGGTATCAGTTAGACCTTACTCAGTATGTTTCGATGTTCAAATTATCCATTAATGGTTTGCTTGTACCAAGACCGAAACATGTTTCGACATCATGCTGTTTCTGATTATTGCTGGCCTACAGTACATATTTGTGTAGCTTCACGGTGCTCTATGTTGTTTTACAATAGGCACCAGGCTGACTTCTTCCAGTATATATACTTCGTACCTTGGTGTAGAGTTGGAGTATTTGGAATTGGCTTGTTCCTTGGATACGTTCTTCATAAAACCAAGTGCAAGGTCAAGTTACCAAGGGTGAGTGTAGATTATCATCGTCATTTTCTGGACCTTACTACCTTTTTAGGCCGACTACAAGGTCTAATGGAAAGAGGGTCTCACCGGAATGGGGAAGGTTTTGTGGTTCGGGTCCCATTCAATTCGGACCAAATGTCGTAAGAATATGATCCTTCTTGTACCTGATGTTACTTGTACTCTCCTTAGATACCGCCGGACCAATGGAGATGATACTCTAGGTCCTCCAGTGCGATTTTGTGCTCATATGACCTCTTCGCCCAGCATTTTCAAAATGCAAAATAATACCATTTAGCAATCATTATTGTTCGAAATTGAACGGATTTGGTATATGTACAGCTTATAGTGGGTTTCCAAATGTAAGATCTTTTTCTTTGGCAAAATAAAGTTTGACCTGGTTTTGACCAAGCTCTCAGAGATCTACTGATCTGTGAACTTCTCTTTTTTCTGTTTAAACTTCACCTCGATAGTTTATCTCAGCATACATGTTCCTATTTTTTTTAAATTTTTTTATTATTTATTATAAAGTTTGACCTGGTTTTGGCAATGCTCTCAGAGGCCTGTAAACGTCTTTATCTCTGACGTTGTACTTTAACTTTGACAATCATGTTTCTCTTTATGATGATATCATATCTTGTCTTGAGATTTTAGCATTCATTTGAGAATTTTAGAAATTGTTTTTATTGATATTGTGTCAGCAAATTATTTCGGTGGGCTACAGTGTCAGTGGGGCTGTGGTGTAGCCTAATGGATAAAGCGTCTGCTCATCACGCCGAAGACCTGAGTTCGGTTCCCTACATGGATACAATGTGTGAAGTCCATTTCTGGTGTCCCCGCTGGGATCGGGTCAGGGTCTCTGACTTGGCGGACACATATCATAGTATCTCAAGATGTTGTTGAACACTGTATTACTGGTTTATCTTGTCCAGGCTTGATTATTACATACCGCCTCAATGTAGCTGGAATGTTGCTGTCCTGAATGCGGCGTTAAACAACAACAAAAACTTAAAGTTCTCGTCTTTGTTGACATTGTGTCGACACATATCCAGTGGAGCTACAGTGTCAGTGGGGGCGGCGGTGTAGCCCAGTGGTTAAAGCGTCTTCTCATCACGTTCGGCTCCCCACATGGATACAATGTGTGAAGGCCATTTCTGGTGTCCCCTGCCAGGATATTGCTGGAATATTGCTAAAAGCGGAGTAAAACGAAACTTGCTCACTCACTGCAGTGTTACTAATTATGTAATGTTCCAATGCTTTCAAATTGACTGATGCTGTTTTGATTTCTAATAAAATAAATCTTAAATATACCTACGTTGAAGGGACTAATGCATGTCAGTAATAATGGATGGTTTCCACAACAGTTCGTCCTTGTCCTTGGATGGCAGCTGGCCCTGGCTATTGGCCTGATGTGCACATATTTCCCCTACGATGACTGGAAGGATGGCATTCCTGACTGGGATCTGAACACAACAATCATCTATACAACCTTGTCCAGACCCGGATGGGCGGTGTTCGTGTCTTGGATTATATTTGTGTGCTGTACCGGAAATGGAGGTTGGTATCCAGTACTATTTTTCTTTGAATAGTGCTTTGTCAAAATTGGAAATGGTATCTTTATTTAGTTCCCCTTGATGTCGACCAAAAGACCGAAATAGTAAATAGAAATAGTAATTATAGGTCATCAGGACCGGTAGCTCTGTAGGTCAAGGTTAAAGTTTGTAGGTCAAGGTAAAACTATGTGATGTGACGTCATTGAGAAACGGTCCCTAATTTGTCAATGTGTGTCATACCAGGTGTGGTCAACAGGCTATTGTCCTGGGGGGCCTGGATGCCGCTGGGAAGACTTACCTACGGGGCCTATCTCCTCCACCCTATAATCTTATCGTACACGATGTTAACCCTGAGGAAACTGGTGTACGCCAACTTAGTAGAAATGGTGAGTAGCGTGTGGACAAATAATTTGTATTGAAAAGTCAAAATAATCTGATCTTAAATACACAAAAACATGTTATGCGTATATTTGTCGCTGGACATGCTGAGTGAATGAAAGTGTGAGTGAGTATGGTTTTAGGTCGCTTCCAGCAATATTCCAGCAATATTGCAACTCGGGACACCAGAAATAGGTTTCACACATTTTCCCCGTGGGGAATCGATCCCGGATATTTAGCATGGCGAGCGATTCTATCTAATGTTATTCAATTATATATTATGATTTCAAACGTGTAAACTGTAATCTATGTTTTGAAGTCTTATTGATACTGTTCAAAACTGGGGCGGTGGGCTAGCCTAGTAGTTAAAGCGTTGGCTCGTTACGCCTAAGACCCGGGTTCGATTCCCCACATGGGTACAATGTCTGACGCCCATTTCTGGTGTCATTATTGCTGGAATATTGCTAAAAACGGCGTTAAACCGTCCTCACTCACTCACTGTTCAAAACTATCTCTAACATATAAATTAAAAGTTTATTCCTTGTAGATTAGACATAATGATGCAAGCATCAAATATGTAGGGGTGATTAATTATAAATATATAAAAATAAATAGAATAGGATTGGTGAGGTAGCCTAGTGGTTAAAGCGATCGCTCGTTACGCAGAAGGTTGGGGTTCGATTCCCCACATAATATCTCCCGCAGTGATATTGCTGGAATATTACTAAAAGCGGTGTAAAACCCAACTCACTCACTATAAATAAAATGGAAGCGGAACACGATTGTCTTGATAGGACCATAATGTATATTTGTGTTTTCTAACAGAGCTATCACTTCATTGGAACATTTGTTGTGTCTTACGGCATGGCCTTCATCTTATGTGTGTTGGTTGAGTCGCCGTGTGTGGGGCTGGAGAAGGCGGTGTTGACGAAGATGAAACTGAAAAGAAGCTGAAGGACATGTTGTCGTGTGAAATATGTGTGATTTTGTGAATTGTATATAAACTATATCTCTTTGTGACACCGAGTCAAGAGTTTTCAACGCTGGAAGGATACATGCTTTTAGGTCAATTGCCTTTTCGTATGAACAACACTTATGTGATTCTGTGAATTATATATTGTGATTATGTGAAATATGTTTGATTTTGTATATATACACTATCCCTTCATTGCTCCGAGTAAAGACATTGTGTTTTCAACGCTAAAAGATATTGCCTTTTCTCATGTAAAAACTGACTGTTTTATGTGATTCCTGATCTTCAACTGGATTTGTTACTTGTGTTTTCCACGCTTCACAGACATTCGCATCCGGTTTAGCTGGGAATCACCTAACGCACAACACTGACTGATTTATATGATATTGTGAATTATGTGTAACTGTAGGGTAAAGATTGGGATGGCCTAAAAGTCGGGCCGGGCCGGGCCAAGTCGTGCCAAATCTATTATTGGCTAATAAACCCATTAATGAAAACCATGCCTACAATTAACCAATGCAACATACACTCATGATAATAATGATCAATCGGAAGCCACAAACGCGTACCATAATAACCTTATTACGAGTAAATCGGCTAAAACCCAGGAAGACGAGAAGCCTGTGAACTTGCTGACCGAGGTTACGTCTAAAAGTGGAATCGTTAAACGAAACGGGATTTAAGACGTATAAATACTTCAGCCAATTCCGATACACATTTCCGTCGGCCCGAAAATGTTTTTACATCTATATCCAATCACATACCACCCCATAAATTCACCATTCATCGTATTTAAAATGACCACATTTAAATGATACGATCTCTTTCCACACTCTCAACATTATCTCGGCCACAATTTTCCGCCCGGCTTGGCTCGAGCCGTCAAAAGCAACTTAAACGGAACATACGTATCTTGAATTGTGTTTAAATCCATAGACTGGCATTATATCTACCAGAATATCGTTTTGTAATGTTATAAAATGCAACATGTAAAGAAAACTGCTCCATTAAAGTGAAGCCCTTGTCTCTCATTTTTCAACATGGCCTCAATCAAAAGTGTTTAGTCTCTGTTCAGCCCGACTTGGCCCGTGCTGTCAAAAACAACTTAAACCTCACACATGTATCTTGAAATGTGTTTATATCCATAGATTAGTATTATATCCACCTACATATCAATTCACAGAGTCTCAAAGCGTAGTATTTGAAGCAAAAACGTTGCTGAAAGTGAAGCTATTTTTTCTACATATTCTCAACAAAGACACAGTATCACAAGCTTTCGGTCCGCCTTGGCCCGGGCTCTCAAAAACAACTTAAACCCCACACATGTATTCTGATTTGTGTTTAAATCCATAGATTAGTATTATATCTACGTAAATATCAATGTGTGATGTTACAAAATGCCACATGTAAAGATAACTGGTTCGTTAAAGTGAAGCCCTTTTCTCTCTCCATTCACAACATAGCCTCAATCAAAAGTGTTTAGTCTCTGTTCAGCCCGACTTGGCCGTGCTGTCAAAAACACCTTAAACCTCACACATGTATCTTGAAATGTGTTTATATCCATAGATTAGTATTATATCCACCTACATATCACTTCACAGAGTCTCAAAGCGTAGTATATTCGATCTGTTTAGCTTTCTAATTTTTTCGTAGTAAATTACATAAGTAGTGTCAGGTTGCGTCATCTCTTGTGGCGACCCTCGCGATATAGATATTCTGATATATTGCCTAAATGAGTTTTGTATGGATGAACTCGTATGCGTAGTTGATGCAAACATCGATACTATCGATGAAACATTTTACCACTTGTGTTTGTAGTTGTATGTGTCTGTTGATTGATCTTGTACTAGATTCCCATCTCCACAGGCTATTAATTTTTCAGCAAAGTTCGTGGAATGAAAACAGTTCTTAGCAATACAAAACAATCTTAGCAATTCAGGGTGAGAGACAGGGTAAGGAATATCACATCTACTCATTTATTTATGAAATTATAATTTCACTTTACACACTACGTGTGCTTGTGAAATTTCCCAATTTCATTTCATAAACATAGTAGATGTGACATTGGTAGTTCAAATCCTGTGAGTGTCAAGGATCTCTGACAAACAGTTTTTTCTGTTGACTGTATTAGTTGGAAAGGTTCTGAACGTAGAGGCTTTGGTGAGGTGAGGTGAATTTGGGTTTAACGTCGTGCTTGAGAATATTTCGCTCATATGACGACGTGCATGCGTGTGTATGTGTATGTACGGCTGCTTGTACTAGCCCAGACTTAAGCTGGTTTTATAGTGCTAGCCCACTGAGATACCATGCCGCAGTGAAGCATGAATACCCCACTCAGACACATTATACTGACTCCTAGCCGACAAGTCCTTGTTGCATCTTGAAATTTGTTTAAATCCATAGATTAGTATTATATCTACCTACATATCAATTCACAGAGTCTCAAAGCGTAATATTTGGAGCAAACACCTTGCTCAAAGTGAAGGCCTATTTTCTATACATTCTCAACAAAGACACAGTACCACAAGCTTTCGGTCCGGCTTGGCCCGGGGCGCTCAAACGATTAGTATTATATCTACCTAAATATCACTTTGTAATGTTTTCAAATGCAACATGTAAAGATAACTGGTTCGTTAAAGTTAGCCCTTTTCTCTCTCCATTCTCAACATAGCCTCAATCAAAAGTATTTAGTCCCTGTTCAGCCCGACTTGGCCCGTGCTGTCAAAAACACCTTAAACCTCACACATGTATCTTGAAATGTGTTTATATCCATTGATTAATGTTATATCTACCTACATATCACTTCACAGAGTCTCAAAGCGTAGTATTTGAAGCAAACACCTTGCTCAAAGTGAAGCTATCTTTTCTACATATTCTCAACAAACAGTATCACAAGCGTTCGGTACACCTTGACCAGGGCTCTCAAAAACAACTTTTTTTCACGTGAATGATTATCTTCATCAGCTGATGAACGTCGACAGTACAACGTCAGCTCTAACATATTGATAGCCCTGACCTAGATGAACATTACCAAGTCGGCTGTAGTCAACTGCATTGTTCCAACAGACATTATGAAGCCACCTGCTGAGTTCAGCAGAGTGTGTTTCAAATGAAGGACTTGCCTAGATCTATATGTTTATTTTCCGAAATACGAATGCTAATATTACTAGGAGATTAGGTTTTGTAATTGCGCTTCCATCCATGTAAGAACTACATTCGCTCTGTATTGCTGGGACCTTACACATGCCAGTAGTCTGTCTCATACTCCAAACTTTCGGCCCTACCCCTTCATGCAAAATGAAGCCAGTCTGGACTCTCACTGGTTCTGAATCTCCGAGCTCACTGGGGCTAATTCAGTATCTATTTCTATCAAAATTTCCTATTATCAGAGACTTACGCTTTGTATAACGTGCCAGGATGCTGTAATTATAGGATCCAAACATGCCCCGGATATGCTTATTGGTTTTCCATGAGCATATCTATATTTCTGAATTTCTCCTACATTAAACAACTGTTGTTTGATCCAATATGAAACTTGCACGCTGTGTAGCCTATTTTTGGCATTGGGTTTTGTGCGTGTTTTTGTTTATTTGTTTTTTGTTGCATTTGTATGGGCTGGGGCTGTTCAAGATGAAATCCACCGAAGCAGGATTGATTGATTATTTTCTCCCTAACGCAGTGAGTAGCGAATTAAGTTACCTACTTTTTGTTTGTACCATAAGCTCCCGGTTTTTCCTGGTGACTTGATTGTGTGTGTGTGTGTGCGTGCGTGCGTTCGTCAAAGGCAATCAGTAGTAGTGAGTTGAAATAAATCAATGTCAATCAATAAGCAAACAAATAATTAAATTTAGTGAATTAAAATCAGTGTCAAAGGCAATCAGTTAGTAAGAGCAAGGGAGCTCATTGGCTAAAAATAAATTATGTCCCATCAAATCGCTGACTCCTTTAAGTGCGGGGCAGGTTAAGGCCAAGGTCGTCAATGGCGAACGTGCACAATACAATTCTGTTTGCGATGAATAAATGTACGTAAACTCATTATGACAGTGAGATATAAGTGTCTCCGAAAGAATGGCGACTAGCGCGCTGACAGGCGCCATCGGTTCAACATGCATGTCGTTTGTGTATACTGTGAAATAAACAAGAAAATGGGTGAGTTACCACTACAAATTCTGAGCAGGGATTTTGGCTTGGAATCGAGAAATCACGATTTTTCGAGCTTCCGAAGACCCTAGCTCCCAAAGTACCGCTTCGAAGTAGTGCTGTATGTCTTATTTTGTAGGTAAATCTATTGGCTTGAAATGTGTACATACTTTAAATGGGATAAATACAGTGAGTATTGTTGAATTCGCCCTGAAACGAACCTGGTGTGTTGACTTCACTACATCCCTTTCCTTTTATATAGTACTAAGACCCGTCAGTGACAGTATATACCTTGATGGCAGTTTTTAGCGTTACAAGCCCTTGTGATTGAAACCAACCCCGGCCCACTCACTTTGGAAGACATGAGAGATTGCTTCATAGCTGAAATACGTGACGTCAAATCAGATTTATCCTTACTGATCACCGCCTTGAAAAGTGACATGTTATCAATCGGATCGAGATGTGATCAGCTGGAGACGTCAGTGACAGATATCAAATAAGATATCGACGCCTTCAAACATAAGTATGGCAACATGTATTCTGATTTTGATGCCATGATCGACATGTATTCTGATCTTTTTGACCATTATCGACGCTGAGCTAGATAACATGGAATCCTTCAGCCGTCGAGACAACGTCATCATACACGGTGTACCGGAAGCTGAAGGTGAGAAATCAACGGCATGTAAGGAAACTGTTCTTAATCTTATCACCAAGCTCCTAACGTTCAAAACGTGGCAACCAATTGACGTTATTCGAGACCATCGTCTTGGGCTTAAGCGTGGCGATTCAACTAAGCCACGCCCGATAATTGTCAAGGTGCAAGTGTCAGATGACAAAGTTAGAGCACTGAAAGCCAGGTCTGCGCTGAAGGAAATAGATATATTTTTTTCAGTGATCTAACTACACGCCAACGTCAACAACTTCAAGATCTGAAAGAAACTGGCCAGTTTGGTTACAACGTAGAGGTGACGACCGTCAACCACTTACAAGTAGTGTATCTGAATAGGACGGCGGTCAAGGCTCGAAATTTACATCACAAGGTCCTCTTAGCAATGAACCCAATGATAATCGTCATTCGCTTAATCATATTGCCCCTCTATGAGGATATGTATAACAAGAAGTCTTCTCTTGTTCCGCCTCTTGGTATAAGAGTGGAACCTTTCCTTTCGGATGCTGGCATTGAGCTAGAACATATAGCGCCTTCCTGTCTGCTTTCTTCTCCTCCTTGGCAATTGGTTAGGCCACAAGTCGACCTAACACTCACTACATTTAAACAATCCAAAACTAATGAATTGCAATATAAACATGAATATAATCAATTAAAAATTAAATATAATACATATAAATCCTTTTTTACAGATGGATCCAAGGATGGTGGCG